GGATGCAAATGTGTTAGTTAGGTCATGTGTTATCATAATATGGAGCTACATCACATTGAATGAATGAATAAAAAAAAAAACGATACTTTTAGTTGGAAATATCTTGACTTTCTTAGGTCCCTTTACACCATGATCAGCAAAAACCTTAATGACAATCACAATACTAAAAACATTATTATCTACTCATTAATTCATAATCATCTCCATCAAAATACAACGTAAATTCGCATCAGTAACTCAAAAAATTATTTTTAAAAAATATGTAAAGATGAACTAAGAAAGAACAACAACAGCAGCTGTAGCCACCTTGATAAGATCCTCATCCTTTATGCCAGGAGGTGCATTGAAGAAGTACAGGATCTTGGATGATGAATGGATCCGTGCAACCAGCAAGCAGATCAATTAACCAACAAATCATTCAATTAACAAGTTAAGGGCAATAAATCGTATGAAGCATTAATAGACCACATAAACTATGCAAACCAATAACAATGAAGACTAATAAAGAAGGCAAAAGATTTAAAGGATATGATTCTTGGAGGCAGCCTCTGGCGTAGTGAATCGGTTGTTTCTGTTGCCCATGAAATCTTGGAATGACGGAGTACCATCCGGCAGATCCTGAGGGTTTGGAACATCCTGGATGAATGCCTGCTTCGAGCATCTGTCAAACAGTCAACAAGCAAGTTCATGCAATTGAGAGCTGTAGCATTGTAGTATAAAATATTTGTAGCATCCATCGTAGCACAAAAGTGGTGATGGACAGTAAGACTAACAAACCCGATGAGAATCTTCTTGCCGTAGAGGAAGGTGCCATTGAGAGCATTAGCGGCTCGTTCGCAGGACATGTAGTCCCCCATCTGCACCATGGCCACTCCACCTTTGCTCCTCAAAAACTTCACACGAACCACATTGCCATACAAGCAGAAGAGGTTGAAAACTCGGCTGCAGTTCATTTTATCAACATCCAGACCATACACCATCATCACGGAGCCCTGTTCAATTGTACATTATATGTATACTCGTTTTCATCAAGCAACATGAGATAATTATTACAAACATCATCATAGTTAAGTGTTGGTTACTTGTTGAAGCATAGGAGCTCCAGGAACATCATCAAATTCTCCTGAAAATTCGTCCATCATTCCTCCTCTTCCTCCACCCATCATGGGAGGATAGGCTGGCCTGGGCCCCCCTCCTCCACCTCCACGGCCTTGGAAGGACCCCCTAAAACCCCTGCCTCCACCACGACCTCCTCTGAATCCCTCAGCATCAGGCATGTACTGATTGCCACCATGATGTTCGTATGCTGGTGGATGGAACTCCTTTGCGAGATGATTCATTCTAATTACAATCACACTAACAGCAAAACAAGATACATAAAGTTACATAAAAACACATACATGTCAAATGCACGTAGGCACATACAAAACAAATACATTTTAAAATATCAATACCTCTGAAATGACACATACAACCACACAGAAAGAGAAAGGCATTAGAAAAAATAAGAAACCTGTCTGGGTCCAGGGGGACCACTGCGGGGACCTCCGCCAGGAGCTCCTCTATGATGTGGGGGTGGTGGATATCTATCACCACCCCTGTATGGGCCACCACTGCCGCCATAATCATCCATTCTTCCAGCTGCAAAGCTAGCACCATCCATTCTTCCAGCACTGTTAAATCCTCCACCATCTGTTCGACCGCCTCGACTGTGGTGATCGGTGTAGGCAGGTGGGTGTCCATAATCAGAAGATTGATGATGGTGAGGGAGTGGCTGTTGGGAGGATGGGCCCATTCCGACCGGGGCCCTTCCTGGATCATCCATGTACTCTTCATCACGTGGAATTGGAAGCAGTGAGTGGAACTTATCTGGAAAGTTAGAATGGTGATTTTTCAATATTGAACAGTCACTATCTGCATAGTCGACATCTGCGTGTGATTGAACAAATGACGAGCGACAGATGAACGAACTAACACCTTCAGCCCCAGAATTTTATTATTCTAATATAAAAAGAATAAATACAAATGAGTAATAATTGAAATACGTGTAAAACGATTTGATATTGATCACACTGCCAGGTGAACAGTCCAATTAATGATAGGCAGCGCAACCACCATCATCATCATTAACATCATCGACATGTTCTTTGACATCATCTTTACATCCAATTCTGATTGGTCAGAAATAGGTTGACAACCCAACAAAGGACCAATCACGATCTTAGGATCTGTGAAAATATGTCAATGTAAGGCAATGAAACACAACTATGACCACCAATTCTTCTTATAAACATTTTGTTTAGTTGATAGATTGCATTCTGTGTTTGTATCTTCTTTGGATGCAAGCATATAAACTCAGTCACCATCAACTATCGTCATCATCAACATCGTACGGCTATCGTTGCAGGTGTCAATCACTTGTTCTAATGAATGATTCTCAACATAAGGTTTTATTTTTTATCAGCTGTTAATTTCTGTGAGCCATCAATTTATGTTGTACGCATGTATTGGCATACATTAGGATTGTTACCCTCGTTTCGCATACTGCGTTATTGTCGGATTACCATGCTACAGCTGACATTGCTATCATTATCTTTATTAATATTAACTAAGTAGGTAATCGTTATTGTCGCCTCTATCTGTAATATTATTTATTTATTTATTTATTAGGTAGTGTCGTCATTGTTAGTGTTAACTTTTTTATTAATATTGATTTGGTAGGCGGTTGTTTGCATTGTATTTATTCACACGGGAGGATGAGCTAGGTGACTGCAAGTTCAACAGTTTTTATTTTTTATTAAACTATTTTTTGTGTTCCTCAGACTGAAGCGTAATGAGCATGGAAGAAGCGCACGTACTAGCCATAATGGGAGTGACAATGCATATAGACAAGGTCATCAGGCCAGAAAGCAAACCACAAAAGCTGTATTCATGCTCCAAGTTATTAGGCTCATCAAACATTAATGTGTTTGTTTTTGTGCTACATTTGTGCATTAAGAATTATGACGATCAGTAAACAGTGGATGCATTCATCCAACGCCAGATTGCTCAATGTTTTGTTTTGTTCATGAATGTAATGTAACTTCTCATAAAAGTGTTTCAGCTGGTTGGATGGGCTGGGTGGGGTGCCTACGAAGCATTTAATTTTCTTTGTGTTCAGATCAGCAACAAATACAAATGTGTACAACCTCAATGACGACAAACAACAATAACAAGTATGTATACTACGATCAACAACTGTTCGGTGTAGTTTTCTGGTTGAATATTTTAGATCATAATAGATGTGCTAGTAGCAGCAGAGGTTGTGATGACAGCAGTAGATTAATGAACCTGTTTGCTATTTCTCTAATTTTTTGTCCTTTATTTTTGATTTTTCTGCATTTTGTGAAAAAATAATTAAAATATCTATTAAAATTTTGAATAATTCAGGTATGTTAACAGTTTTGTTTCAATGTTCTTATTTACAGTTGCAAATAATGGTTATTGTATTACTATCATTTTCAGTTAATTATATCATTCACAACATTGAAACTAAACTAATAATCATCCCACCTAGTAAGATTAATTATATTTGTACATGCAACTAAATCACATCTACTTCTACAAGCAGAGCTACCACGTAAGCTAAATATTTAAGTAAATATTCATTCCTTTTGGAACACAGCTTGTAGCAAATTAGTGATCATATCTTGTACTCAAATATTGACAACTCCTACAATAGCAAACTAAATAATAAGAAATGAAGATAGATACTTTAAAATTGAATGAACAGATAAAATAACTACCTGCCTCTTTATGTTTCAACTAAATGATGGTTCTTCTTTGTTCATTTTGTAAGACATCATTTCATTATTTGTACCCGAGAACATTTTATTTTTGATGAGACGACAATTTAAGTTTATTTTTAGAAATTGTTCAACTGCATATGAGCAGTGTTGTAACTTTTTTTTCAACAGAAAACAGTTCCGTGGATTTATTTTAAAATGAATGTTTTCAGAAATGTAAAATATTTTCACGAACTGAAACATTTTCACAGAATTTTTAAAATATTTGATACCTGGTTTTCACTTTGAAGGTCATTGTTCACTTTTTGTACATTAATTTTTATTTTAATGGTATCCTGTAGATAATCTTTTTTTTTCTAGAAACACCTTGAAGCATCACACCCACATCAATTAATAATAGGTACCATCCTTCATGCTTTTTAAAAATATGTGGTTTGTACATACTGGCATATTCTTTTTTGTAATTTAGTGGCAATTTTGTAATATTGCACATAAAAAGTTATTTATTAAATTTTGAATAAAAACTTTGTTTTTATTTTGATTTGTTTAGGAATATCATGATATAAAAAAATAATGATCAACAGCAATCAAACATTGATAATATATAATTTTTTGACAATTAAACTTAGGTATCAATATATGCATAGATGTTTGTATGCATGCATGGATGTTTGTATGAATGAAAATGAATGAACGATGTATGCATGGAAGTATATGAAAATGAATAATTTAAGTTTGTACCAGATTTCTGTGAGGTGTAGTCCCAACTGTCCTGATCATTCTTACTGACCGACAACCTCGGTACCTTAATTGTCACAAAATTTAAATACATGTTACCACATTCTGCAACTTAAAAATAAGCACGTAATGAAATGAAACAAACAAAAGCTAAAAACTGAAAGACATTTGTCAATATATTAAATGTAGAAATGAACAACGGCAATAAGATAAAAGAACAAGCATATAAGCTTAACATATATAAAATATAAAAACCTTGGCCCACTCAATTTTGAGAGTACAACATCCAGAATAAATATCAGCACCGTTCAAACTTTCTTTGATGGTCTCTGCCATCTGTGGGCTTTCAAACTCGACCATCGCCTGAACTCCATTTTTTCGCATTATCACAATCTTGTTCACTACACCGCCACTGTTTGTACAGATTGTATTCATAACATCCTGTATGTCCATGGCATGAATAGTTCAAGAGCGTTTTTAATAACCAGCAGAGAAAACCTCTATAATTTAATAATTAATTATCTATGACAGTATAAAAAATAAATACCAATGTATATGTGGAATTTTAACTTACCACTGTTATGGGATATTTAGGATTTAGGACATTGAACAGCAAGACATTTCCTGGTCTGTCCTCTTGCATACTACTACTATGTTCAATTATTATATTTTTTAAATAAACATAAAAATTAGCTATCTAAAATTCATAATTCAATGTAAAAAATTAAAAAACTGAGCAGATGAACTGAAATTAAAATCTGCCAAAAAATACATACGGTGGGATTCCCCTTTGTTGATTAGGACTAGAATGAGGATATTGGGTAGCATAGTTGTCATACATTCCTTGACGACTGTTTCCCTGGCTTTGATTAGGATATTGGCCATGGGGTGCATGCTGTTGACCTCCAAAACCAGACTATAGTTAGTATTAGTTAGAACATAAATTTATTTTCTCATTCATTTACAATCTAAACAAAAAGCAGTTAGGAATATTATTAATTATAATGATATATTTGGTTCGCCATGTTTTACTATATAGTATATAATATATTTTTATATACATTAATATTAATAATTAATGAATTCACTTTTTTATTTAATTTAAACACATTTAGCCATTATGACAGATAAATATTATTATTTATTATTATGCCAATTATTGAGTTTTCAACAATTAAATCAAATGTTTATAATTGTACACATGAATTATAAAATAGAAATGCTTAAGTCATTTTATTTATTTATTTTAACAACTTAAAATAAATAAAATGTTGATAAGAGATTAGGAATAGATGTAGTAAAATCAATAAATAAAATGCAAATGCACCATTCTAAAGGCAAAATGCCTAACCAGCTATATTATACAATTAATAAAACTAAACTACTAATTGTATAATAAATATAAAAAAACTAAATTAGAAAAATTACTAACTCTTTTCTGTGGAGGACCATAAGAAATGTTCTCATCCATTCGATCACGTTTACCTAAATAAGCCATCTTAATTAGCAAATTATGTGAAAGAGATTCGAATAAGCGAACGATATTTGAAGCAAATTTGCTAGAAATGTGTTAACAAAACTTCGACACATACAAAATTATCTGAACGATTTGGATTAATTAAAAGATGGCTAGATGGCTAAGAAAGCCAAAGACACCAAATATTAATTTGTTAAGATTTTGTGAAGATGTTAACATTTACATTCGCCTAATTGAAATTACTAATTGCCAAAAAAGTTGAGATAACCATTTACAAATAATACATTTTCACGTTTAGGACATTGTGTAAAACAGGAATCTAGTAGAAAATTACAAGCTTAATACACTAAATTAGCGCCATCAACAAATAAAAAATCGAACTATAGTTCGAGCTCCGTAATGATTTAATTGGTCGATTTAAGATATTATAAAACTTCAAGATATAACAAGAATGTCGAAATTTTAATTAAAAAATTATAAATTTTCATGCCCAGAAGATTGAGTGCTAAATGAATCAAGTACATACTACCAGCTTAATTCACTATATCAGTGGTACATTTCAAAAAATTCAAACTATGGTAAAACTGACAACTGTATGGTTGATTCAAAATACTGTATATATAAAACTTCTTAATTTCCATTACCAGATTGTCATCTCAAGTTACCATATATCAAAAATTTCGAGATATCTAATATTTATTTTAAAATATTTAATAATTATATCGACAAAACCCACCACAAATAAAATAGAAACTATATATATATATATATATATATATATATATATATATATATATATTCAATATATAATAAACTAACGAAAATGAACGACTATAAGTCTGGAAAATTAACAATAATCAGTATTATTTAATATACACATTCAAGTGATATATATATATACAAAAAAGCTATATGTAAATGTATATCAGAATAAAGTTAAAATAAATAAATTCATATAAAATAATTATGTTCACAAAAAATTATCGCAAAAGATCGAATTATTCCTCCTACTTCTTCTTCTACCATTCCTTCCGATAGGAGGATTATAGATGTTTACCGCCACCAAACAGACTGCTAATGAAGTATTGCTCGAATATGATTCGTTGATGGGTTGATGATGTAACGAATGAATGAATGAGTCAATAAATATGAATGAATGAGAATGAATAGATGAATTAATATTTAAAATAATGATCAAATGTAATGACAATATAACAATGATAATGATCTGAATGTGCACCATTAGTATTATCAACACCAACGCCAACACCATCATCATCATAATAAATGTAATTAAAATTATTAATTATTCTAATCATAATTATTAATTTATATTTTTTATCATAATTTTTATTTATGACGTAGGAGGTGATTCCTCACACACTCGGCAACGCAGAATAAGACCAACTCATACTGCTCCTGAAGAATCAAATGAAAAATTTTTTCAACGTTCTAAAAATAAAAACAATAAAAGCAGCAATAAATATGTATGGAACCGTGACTACATTCAAAAACGGCTCCAACGTACATAATAATAATAATAATAACCACGATAATAATAATAAGAATAATAATAATCCACATCCACATCATCTCAATCACCTTGCTAGCCACACACTTCATTCGTTGGTCTCTAAAATGTTCGAGAGCTGCTGCAATGTCCAGCTCCTTCGCTCCTAACATTAGGAATAACAACAATAATAATAACAACAACAACAACAATGATAACAACAATTACAATAATAATATCAACGATAATAACAACGTAACATAACGAAGATTTTAATAACGATCCAAGAAGACTAGGTCTGTCTAGACCACTCTGAGGCTTTTTTAAATCCTATTTTTGCCAAGTTACTTCAATGGTATTAAGGCAAACTTTAGCTATATAATAATAAAGCAGCGGTGATAGCAGTAACAATGAAAGGAGAAATAGTGACGACCGACCGTTACTAATTCTGTTGATGACGTTATCGATCAGGGCGTACGTGCCCGTCCTACCAGCTCCGTCACTAATAAAAACAATAATAATACAATTAATAATAAAAAAACAATAAATATAACATTAATAATAATAACAACATTAATAATACAATTAATAATACAATAAAAACAAAAGTAGAAATGCCGACCAGCAGTGTATGACCAGGGCGTTATTGCTTCCTCTACAAAACTTGTTAACCTTCCTGAAGAAGATTTATAATGAAAATAATTAAAAAAATGATGATGTAGAATGACGATGAAGTAAAACAAAGAACCTTCTAAACTCCAGTAAACTTTTAATTGATAGTGGCAATTCATCTTTGGGCCATTTCAAGTAGTGGTACTGCGTGATCGTCCGAGTTTCATATCTTTGTTGCTGTTGTTGCTGTTGCAGATTGCGAAGTAGCAGATTTCGAACCACATAATTGCGATTGTTGATGTGCTGAGATACCAAATGAACCTGCATGCGTAAGGAGGGGCGACATGAGAGCCATCATCCCCACCATCTCAATCATCATAATCACAATAGCCCCCACCACCACCAGTCACCTCAAACTTATGATAAATCTCGACGCCGGCCTCGGGCCAATAAGGGTGGCACTGTGATTGGTCGGTTAATGAGGTCAGGTTAATAATGGCTGTTGACCTCGATTCCCAGACAAGCTTTGTAACAATTGAATAATATATATATATATATATATATATATATATATATATATATATATATATATATATATATACATACATATATATTAATTAATTAATAATGTTATCATCATCAATCCAATTCCAAAAATGTTTTTACTCAGTACAATACATTAGAAGGAAGAGCCAAAGTTTCCACTTGGTTGGGCCACCTAATCCAAGAAATTGAGGGTACATAACAAAATAAAATTGAATTACTCATTACTATAAAAAGTAGGAAAACGACTGTTAAAACTCAACAGAAACCTACAAAATTCAGTAAGTGAGGTTGAGGCAAGTGACAGAACGAAATACAAACTCAAGAGATAGTTGAAGCAAGGTTAATAGTTGAAGAAGGAGTGTACAATATGAGAAATGTTCTTTCAAAATTTACTTAAACTTTGAATAAATCGTAAGTTTCAAGTAAAACAGCCAGTGTAGGGATGATGTGGTGACGGTTAACTTGATTAGTGGACAGCATCAACAACATACCCATCATCTTCTTCTTCATCACCCCATCATCATCATCACCATCACTATCATCATCATCATCTTCTTCTTCTTCATCATCCTCATCATCATTTTCATCATCATCATCACTATCATCATCATCATCTTCTTCTTCATCACCACAACCTGCCAAAAATCAGCGACAGTGTGTGGCAGAGGATTCTGCGTGAATATGTACGACAGCATGTTCGGGTCGTGGTCTGTCTGTCATCATCATCATTAATTATTATTATTTTATTATTATTATTAATCATCATCATCAGCAGCACTATCATCTTCACCACCATCATCATGATCGTTACTAACAATCTTACTGGCGTTGATGTAATCACATCTGTTAACGTTGGCTTGCTTGTTCAAGATGAACCTATTCCAGTTATCTGCATTTTAAAAATAAAAAAAAAATCATCGTCATAGTCGCCATCTACCTTCACATCAATGTTAGCAGGATCATCACCATGATCATCATCCCCAAGATCGCTTCCCCAATCATCACTATCATCACCATCATCACAATCATCATCGTTCTCATTACTAGACTTACTAACAAGGCAAAATATTAAGTGTCCTATTTTTACGAATATTTTCTGGCAAGAGCGCATCACTGGTTGTGACATCATCGGGTTCGTACGAAGACAAACTCAGCCAATCATTGTCAAGTTTTGTTGAATCTTTTAAATGAGCCTCCATGTACGACTGTTAAGTGAGAAATGGTTCAGTTTGTTTAAAAATAAATTACATATAACTTTTCAACTAAATCAAACTACTTAATTATATACACACACACACACCATACATATATGCAAGCATATTAACAATCAAACACATATAAATAAAGATAATAATTTTATAAATTATATTTTACAATACTAACTAACCAACACCAAATGACCAGTTATAATGTCAAGGCCATATCTGTTGTGATGAGTTGAACATGAAAGGTCATCATCGTCGTCGTCATCTTCACACACACTAACAAACATTCCAGAACTATTGGTCCTAATTACTTTAAGTGACTTGGTGGCCAATCTGTTGTCTTGATTGTTAGTGTTGTTATTATTCTGGTTGTTTTCACTGTTATTGATGCTAGAGTGGTACGGTCTAAGGACTGTGTGGTGATTATTTTCACTGTTGTTCATCATGTCATTATTTTTATTATTATAACAAATAGAAGAGTAGGAAGAGTTGTGGTTATTAAAACTTTTTCCTTTATTGTTGTGATCTACTTTTTTATTATCCCTCAAAATATTTCTAGCAAATTCTATGATCAAATCTATGAAGTAATCTATTCTTGCAGCCGCAGAAGCTCCAGCTTGAGCTTTTTTTTGATGAATAAAAACGTTTTTTTCTCCATCACAATGGCTAATATTCATTACTAACAAATTTGATCATTTGTTTTAGAGAGAGATTATCTGAAATTAAATTTTTAATACATGTATATTGTATACATATCATTGAAAAGAAGTTTTCAGTAAATAAACTTAGAATAGTTAATTTTTACTTGACAGAAGTCAACAAACGTTAATTTAATATTTAATTTATTAACTTTAATATTAATTATGGATAAAATTTAACATTAATATTCCATAACTCTGGCCCTAACTCTAACCAACACAAAAATTATACTGAATATTATTTCAAAAATACTTTTTTCCTGAAATATCTTAAAATTTGAAATAGTTATTTTGACTTGACAGAAGTCAAAACTTTAACTGTTTAACATGATTATTATTATTATTTATTATTAAATATTAAGAATTAAATAAGATAAGATTAACCCATTAACGTTTTATAACATTAACGTCCCTAACTCTAACCAACCCAAAATTTATACTAAATATCATTTCAAAAATACTTTTTTTTCTTAAACATCTCAAAACTGAACGTTAGATAATAAACGTTTGCCAGCTTTTCACAAACTTTGAAGAGAAAAAATTACTAACAAATTTTTAAAGGCACGTGCCTAAAAATGAACTTAACTTTAAAAATAGAGATGTATTTCTTAGATCAACAAAAACTCTACCCCCGGTATGGTATACATACAAAACAATTTTTTAACGAAACTTCTTTTTAAATTAAATAATATTTTATTGAATTATTTAATAATATGTGGTCATTCAATGGCGATTTTGTCATAAACAGTTGCTAAGCAACAAAAGCCGCTCCGGTCGAAATTTGATGAAATCGAGAGTTCGTTTTACAGAGCCGGGATTTGAGATTGAAATATTTGGAAAGAATTTGCAAATTAAAATGAAGAAGAAAGTTAAGAAGTTCGTTTTCGAGGTGAGCCATTCAATTCAATTTCAAAGTTTTTTTTAATTTTCTCCACATCTGGCGCCGTATTTTCAAATTAATATTAATTAATTGAATATTAATTATTATATTTTATAAATTTATATGTATCAATATTATGGTCAACTGCACAAAGAACAAATTTTTAAAGTTGTTACTAGTCAGTACTCACACAAATAAATCTAAACTAAATGATAAGCTTGTTTCTTTTATTGAACATAAATGAAAATTTAATTAATTTAATAAATTTATATTTAATAATAGCATTATTAACTAAACAATGTAGGACCAGGTTGATGACCTGAAAGTTGAAGAAACAGAAGAGATGAATGAAAAAGATGATGATGAGGAGGAGGAGGATGATTATGATGAAGATGGAGCCAGTGATTTGAATGAACGAGTACTACATTTGAAGAATGAATTGAATAAAGTCACACTTGGCCAACAAAATTTTGAACAGTTTATTTTAATATTTTTTACTTTTTATAATAAATTTTTTAATACTGTCCTTATTCCTTTAATAACAAGTAGATTAATTTTTTGGTGGTAATTTAATTTAATCTCTTAATTTCATTTTCTGAATAAAAATAATGAATGGTTTTTATTGAAACTAGAATAAGAGTTGAGAATTTCAATAAGATGGACTATCCAGACAGTTACAAGATAAACAGTTCACAAGAGAAGAAGATCATAAGTTATATTGAAAACTTCTGCAGACAGTACCATCAACTTTACAAAGATCGTAAATCTTTGTTTATCTGCCCTCTTAATGAATTTAAATTGCCTGTCAGTTTGATGCTTACATGCGCATTCGTTTTCTATTATTTCAAAATAAAATCTCCTTTAAACATCTTTGTAAAATTTAAAATATTTTATTTTTTCGAGCAAAATATCTAAAATGTCTAAAAAAGTTTTCGGTTGGTTATAAATTTGAAAGCTGTGAGATGATAATTTCATTAGTAGTTGTTATTTTTGATCCATGAAGAAATTTGTATGCACGACACTCCGTCCGATGGAACTTTCATACACGGAGTTGAATGACTGGAGGGGAGCCAGTGAATTCGTGGCAGACTACCTCGATTACATGCCTCTCATTCAACCTTACGAATTGGTTCGTTCTGTTACTGCATCTAGTCGTTGATGATGCTGCTGCTGTTGCTGCTGATGACGATGATGTGGATCCTGACGACGATCTTTCTGATGATGATAATGATGATGATGACGTTCAATTCTTGGCAGCCGAGAAGTATGTACTCGCCGACGACGGTCCTACAGTTCCAGCGCGGACACTGCTTTGAGTACAGCACGCTTCTGGCCTCCCTCTTGATTGGTGTGGGCTACGATGCCTACGTCGTCAGTGGTTATGCCACGAGGGAGACCTGCCTCATAGATCAGACAAATAATCTCTGCCCATTGCTCGTAGATAAGAAAGAAGTTTGTTATTCGGTGTTAGTCTGGTTGGTTGTTTGGAGTTGTGCTTGCATGCTTTTTGTGGGTCGTAAATTAACAAACCATCAGTTTAAGCAACTTTGAAATTATTATTGTTTAGATATTTCGTTAACAAGATTTTAGTTTTAATCACTTTTTTTAACCTTCAGTTGTAAAATTTATCCACAAATCATTTACTGGATTATCGATTGAATTATACATTGAATGATTGATTAATCGATCAGGAGGTGGTTGAAGAAAAAGAAGAGGTGAACAAGAAGTATAGGATTCGTTCCCAGATGGACCTGAAATCGATGTTTGAGAAGTTAAGGAGCAACGAGAATGATGATGATGATGATGATGATGATGATAAAGAGAAGAACTTCAGTGATGATAGCAAGCACACGATGACGATGGAAGAAAGTAACATCATTCATCGCAAGGTTGCTCAAAGCCGCATCCACCTGCCATCATCATTATTGTGACGATGGATGATGATGATCAAGCTTTGTTAGAAATTATGATGACGAATGTTTTTCAATAACTATTTTATAGCGTCATTGAACGCTACACACACTCAAGCACACACACGACGCAACGCAACAGACATCACAAGCGGACATAGAAGGAGACCCGCTGTACGGTTTGAGACCTCATAGTTGGGTCCTTGTGTTAAGAGGCTCGCGAGAGATCGATGAATCATTCTTCATCGAGCCAACCACAGGCCTCTCACACCAGCTCGACAGCTCCAACTATCTCGGTTTGCGTTTATTACGTTGGCCAGGTTGCAACTAATGAATAAATGAATTATAATAATCAGATAAGAAAAGCGAAACTTGTACGCATTGTTCGATTGATCAATTGTACTAATGTAATCGCAGGTGTCGAAAGTGTATGGAATGATAAAAATATGTGGGTGTGCATGCAAGATTGTTCCGAAGGAGTCAAGGTCAGATCAATTCTTGTGCGTGCTGTGTTTTTGCGTGTTTTTTTTGCATGCTTTACGTGGGCATGCCTGTGCATCAATCCATTTTTTAAATAACCAGTCTCTCTTCTATTGATAAATTAACTATCATCACCAGAATCTGACGTACGATTTGATGGATGCTTCTAGATGGGAGTACGTATTTCGAAGATACGAGAATCTTCTGCGCAAAACTGCTTCGACTGCTGCTGCTGCTGCTATCACTTCCTTAGCTACGCCCTTCGCTGCAGCTACCAATAATTCAATAACTCCTGCTGTCGGCTATGATGACGGCGATGTGGTTGGAAGCAAAGACGCAAATGTAGCTCGCAACGTGAAGACGACCTTCCTCGAGGAAGAAGAAGCAAACATACATGAGGTGGTTCGCGATTGGTTGGTTGGTTGGTTGGCTGGCTGGTCAGTTGGTTGGAATGGTAGGATTTATTATGAAACAAAAATATGTAAAACAAAATTTAATTTAAAATTAATTAAATATTTAAATAATTTCAGCACACAGCTCATATTCGGAGATCAAATAAGTCTTCTGTAATAGACCAATATTGTCACTGTAAAAATTAATTATTCAAACAGAAATGTGCTGATTACTAAAAATAAATGAAACATTTGAAGAGTCGTAAATGAATTTGTACAAAAAATGAAAAAATACAAACAAGCACAAGTTTACGAGTAACGTTATTAAATAGCCAGTTAGTTTATGATGATGGCCTATATATTGTTAACACTGGAAATCATAGAAGCGCTCAGGATGTGATTTTATGATAAGTTGCATCAAGGTTCGTTTAAATTAGTTAAAATTAGCAATCAGTTTAATGTGACTTGGTGAAGTCTCGTCCCAAATTTTTGATGCATTCGCAAGTACCTGTACTTGGTTAAATTAGCTTCAAACTAACAAGGCAAGTATAAAACAAATTGTTACTTAGTCAAATTCTACGAGTATCAGACCTTAATCGAAAAAATTAAAAAAAGAATGACGCCAACAAGCTTAGTAAATTTTTCTAAAAAAAAATCGCCGAAAAGTAAATATTCGTAAATAACGAATGAAATTACTGTATGTAAAGGATATAAGGGATGACTTGCGGTTAAATTCACTTCTTATACAGTCTAACACCAACATATATACGGACACACAAACAAATTAACACAGCCTGAATACAATCACGATTATGTGGAGTTTCCGCCTTCCTGGACCAACCCTATCAACATCTCTTTAGCTGGTTGGCCTCTTGTTAATTGATCGGTCATATAATTAATTTCTTAGTTAATCAGTCAAGCAATATTGACTAAGAACCAAACTAATTAGATGTTGGAATGAAATGAACTAACAGATTTTCAGAAGAAGTGCCCGAACGGAAGAAAAGTTATCCTCTACAAGAAGACCAAGTTGGAAAAGTTTGCCCCCAACCTCATGCCCGATGGTGTGGTGCTCAGGTTGTCCCTGTTTGAGGATCACTCCAGTAAGTTTAGATTTATGAAAACTACTAATAATGATGCCAATGGGATAGAATAATATAATTTCTATTGATCAATGATTATTAAGGAAGCAAATTGTTGGAGGTGAGGGAGATGTACAAAAATCGCATGGACAAGTTGGACAAAAGAGTTTACAATTACAGAACTGGATGGACCAGTGAATACTTTTTACCCGGCAGACCCAACAAAATGAAAGGTCTGTGGTGTTGTTGCTGATGTTCATTTATTATCGTCATCCTCTGACGTTAACAATCACCAACACCCATCATCACTGCTACTATAGAGCACCACTTCAAATCTATCAGCAATAATTTGGAGAACCAGCGAGAAGCGGTCTATTTTTCAATTTCTCGCCCAGACAGTCTAGAGAAACGTGTTGAAACGAAAGACACGATGACCGAATACTTTGAAGACCGGGATGACTTCCTCTATTACAAGTACAATGAATACATTGAAAGAACGAGAGGCAGTAGTTTGAGCGTTGGTTCCATGAGAAAGATAAGTGTAAGTCTGCATTTCTGTTGTTCATGTGTGTGTGTGTATATGTATGCATATATACGTATGTGTGTGTGTGTGTGTGTGTGCTGTTATCTATGAATGACATCCGCACTCATACAATTCAATTTTAATCAATCTTTCGTTTTATTTTATAAAAATAATGAATTTGAACAACAAAGCAACAATTACAAAGCTCATGAACTATTAATAGAGAGTACATACATACAATGCAACATACATGCGTGCACGTTTGTCCATCCGATGAACCGAGCAGAAGATGGTCGTACGTTACAAAGCGGACGCCAGCAAGTTGAGCAAGGATGAGGACATATACGAGATAACATTCAACCTGCTTGAGGAAAAGATAACAGTTGTCTATCACAGAGAAGACGACCGCATATCTGCCACCTGCAGAGAGTTCATTCAACCAAATCGAAATGATGAAAAGGGAAAGAATTTGACCTGGTCACCGACGTCCAATTATTTCGTTTACATGGTCAGCTTTTGCTCGTGTTTCTAATTTAAATAGTCATTAATTAATTAGTTAATTAATTCATACATTAAATTCTCTTATAATGAAATGAGTCAAACAATGAAACAAAACAAACAGTCAGATCCAATGAAAAAAGATAAGAAGAAGGTAGCCTTGTACCAGATGATGTTACAACTTTTGAAGCTCGAAGAGAAATACAGCGAGATGACGAGAGGATCTGAATTGGAGGTGTGCTGATGATCACTAACTTCAACCTTGTAATCTCATCATATTTTTACATTTCTTTTTTAAAACTTTCGCCCGCAACCGCAAAGAAAAAACCGCAATCGCCCGCCGTTAAAGCGTGGCTTCTTTTAGCTACTATCATTATTTATCTATGTATATATATATATATATATATATATATATATATATATATATATATATATACGTGTGTTTGTGTGTGTGAACAATAGTTATACACGAACAATAAAGTATTAAAAATTATTAAATCTTTAAATCATTTTACCTTTTTACAAGCGGAAATTAATGTAGCCGAATGATGACACCGAAGAATAAAATTTTGACAAGAATGGCAAGAATGATGTAAGAAGGCTTCCTAAGTGTTCTAAAATTTCGAATGTTTTACCGAAATTCATTTGATGGGACAGGTTTTCTCTTTAATGCATGAACTGAGTGTGGATTTGAACACCCACTATAAAATGAGATTCAAAAGCAATCGAAAATCCTGAACGTAACAAAGCAAATCTTAATTTTTTTTTAAATTCTCGCAATTGAAAAAAAAACAAAATCGCCGCTTCAATAAAATTTTCATGTGATTTGAAACTAAAACCGTCAAAATTCGCGGTTGATTGAATTCCGCGTTTGAATGTCTCTAATTTCTTCACCCATATTTTGGTTACGCGTTCACTGAGACAATTGAATAAATGTTTAGTTACGCATTTTTTCATTTATTTTTCCACTGAATGTGACAAGGTCCAGACCATGCTACACGAGCGCATGCAAGAAGAAAGCGCTGCACTTTTGGAATCGTCAACAACCGATCTCTTACACAGTGACAAGGCAAAAAAGAGGAAAGCAATGATGGTCTGTCTGTTTGTTTGTGTATACGTTTCTGTGTTCTTGTGTCTGCACGGAAAATGTCAAGCATTTAATTTGTTTGCTAGGAAAGAATAGCGATGGAGGAGAAGATGGCGAAAGAAGAAAAAGAGTTGGACGTGATGACGACGTTCCTGTCACGTTTCGGAGAGTTGGATGGCCTGACCGAGGAGCAAATTGAGAGGGCCAAGCAGGATTGCCTCGAAGACCTTAAGAACCGCATGATTGAGAGGGCCAACCTCATACAATCAAGATACGATAAAGTTTGTTTGCTTGCTTGTTTTCTCGCTCACCCTCATTGCTACCAATATAACTGTCGTTGTTATTATTATTATTAATCATTGCACACGTTTTTTGATGGAAGGAGGTGAATGAGCTGCAGAGGAGACAGGCCTGGTTCCAAACGAATCAGATGATAATGGTGAAGGAAGAGGAACAGGAATACATCACTTATTGCATGGAGGCCTTGTTCAGAATACAAATATTGGAGATGAGATTGAATAGGTTGTTGTTGTGATTGTTGTTGGTGGCACTGGCGTTTGTTTGACGTCGCGTTTTGACTAACAAGTTGAAGATACTTGTGAAGATGGTTGATGTATATGTGTTCGCGATACAATAAACTAACGGCGTTACCAAACGTACAGACACAAAGAACAAGCACCACTTAAGTACAGAGCCCTTGAAGAGAGGTTGAAGAACGAGATTCAAACTTCATTATCAAATGATGATTCCAATGCGGATTCTGCCGATATGCCGACCAGATAAATGAATAGCTGACCGAATAAAGTTTATTATGATGGTGTACTTTTGTATTATTTCATCTTCTCCACGAAAGAAATGGACGGTGCTTGTAAAGCTTTCAACTCCTTCCTTACTACTTTCCTCTACTGAACGTGCGAGTTTAATTAGCTAGATCTTGAAAAATAACATTGAATACAAAATAACTTGATTCTATTTCATTGGCATCAGTTCTTATGAAGTCTTCAAAATAAATTCCCTCGTTGAAATACGTTATAACACAAATAAATGAATGAATAAATAAATAATTTATATATAACAATCAAGAGGTTATTTACAATAATCAAAATATTTATTACAATGGTAAATATGAACATCTATTAACATCTCTATTAACCGTAAAAAAAACGCAGAAACGTGCAAGACGTACGTACGCACGCACGTAGGCTCACAAAAACTTACGAACCGCTTGCCGTAGTAATACTTGATGAATAAACAAAAGTTATTAAACGATGATCCTCCAGTCGAACTTTTGAACGTTGATTTCTAAATAAATGAAAGAAATAAAAATATTTAGGAACGTGTCAACAAACGAATGACGTATAGATTGATATATGGTGGCAACCAACCAACTACTAATCCTACATGGAATGCTGTCCAGTGGTACATACAACATGTGTGCAACTTACATATATACATTAGAGACACACCGAATAGCGAATGTGGCCTTCGACCAAATAGTTGATACACTGTTTAAACACTAAAATACCCAAACTTTTGAGTAAAAAATCTATTTTTTTTATTGAGAAAATTATTCATTTTTGTCTAACTCTTTTAACAAGACAATAGTCAATTTCTTGTTCAAAATTAGATGTTTTAACGCTTTGATGGCCAAAATAATTTTCCCGCTAATAAGTTATTTTTCTGGAATTCCAAAAAAATTGTTGACCTGAACGTAAGTGGCCAAAGCCAAATTGTAAATTTTGGGCTAATATTCGGTGCGTCTGTTAATAGGAATGTACAATTGAGGTCCTACATGCGTGTATCGCTCAGATTAGAACATTCAAAAGTTTCAAATCAAATAAATAAATAATGTAAAGAGCAATTGTAATATTAATACGTAGTAATTTGCAGTTCTGAACAACAATAATCATAATTATAAGTTAAAGCATTAGATAAAATAATTTCAGCTACGAGAACAACATCAGCAAGTCGTCATTAAAACAGTTACTGTTGTTGTTATCACTGCTGTTGTTGTTGTTGACGTTTCCATCGATGAAATCAACAAAGCTATTGATGTCGCTGCTGGCGTTGCTAGCAGTGATGTTGTTATTATTATCAGCGCTGCTGTTGCTGCCACTGTGACCATCTTCGGCGAGGTTGGGGCCGAGGTAGGACAGCAGTTCAGTTGGGTCGGTGAGGGCAACTGGCAGCAGCTGCAGAAGTTGTTTTTTTTTATTTTAAACACAATCGAATGCAGAAATTATTGCAATCTTCTTAATAGTAAGTTATTAAGTCGGTAGCGTGCGCTTAATGCTGGTGCATCATATATTAAAGTAATTAAACTATGGAAGAAATAAAAAGTTTAAAAAAATTTAATGATGGAGCCAACGTCTAAATCATTATCGTCGCCGTCATCAGGGACGCATGAGCCTTCTATAAGAGAGGAGGTGTGGAATCCAATTTCAGTGTTGAATTCATCTTTGATGTCGGGAGTCTTCAGAGTTTCGTGACTGTCAGCTGATGTTGTTGTTGTTGTTAATGTTGTAGTTGTTAATGTTGTCGTTGATGTGGTTGTTGTTGATGATGGTTGGAATGTTGTTGGTAGGTCAGTGAAAGAAGGAGGAGACAGTCGAGATGGTGAAGGTGCTGGAGTGACGAGTTGTGATGATGATGTTGTTGTTGCTGTTGGTGATGTTGTTGTTGCTGCTGCTGAATAATTATTTGATGTTGGTGCAACAATATTTGTTGGTGTTGTTGGCTGGTAGTTGTTCACTGGGCTAAAATGTTGTTGCCGTTGTTGTTGATGATCTGGCGATGGGAATGCTGACACATCCATGTCGTCGTGTTGCTGGAAGAAATGGTGAGGTTCTTGAGGAAAGCCATTGTTGTCGTTGTTGTAATTTATATTGTTGCTGCTGCTGTTGTTGCTGCTGTTGTTGTCCGGGTAGAACAAATTGTTGTTCATCTGGGAGATGGAATTTAAAAAGTCTGGCGTGTCTGGTGTGGGGAAGGAGGGGCTTAATGGGTTGTTGCTGTTGTTGATGTTGTTGCTGTTGTTAATGTTGTTGCTGTTGTTAATGTTGTTGCTGTCACTCACCACCATGTTTTTGATGTCGTGAGATGAGGAGGAATATGGTGGTGACTCATTGTTGCAAAGTAGCATTTCTGTAGGTAAATAAATTCATGTGATGAATGAATGCGCGAATGAAAAAACGAATAATGAATGAATGAATGTATGAAAGAATGACGTGATGAATGAATAAAGGAGCGTGAGACCTTGAGAGGTGGGGTAGTTATTTCCTGCTTGCGGTTGCCAGGACGACATGATCATACTTGAGGGAGACACCGTTTTTGTCCACTGCTTGTCTGCCGGTTGTAACATTATTAAGATGATGCACTCAATCATTCATGAATTCATTCATTCCCTCATCCACAAACCTTCTTCTATCTTTGCAGCAGCACCAACAGCAGCAGCAGCAGGAGGAAGCAACATGACAGGCCTCCAGCTGGCAGTGTGGTCGATGAGAACTTCATCGTAGTTGCATCCCTGCAGGTTGTTTATGATGCTCCACATGTACTGGTCCACCTCCAAGCCTTCCAGCAGAGCTGGTTTGCTGTGCGAGCGTGTATGTGTGCGTGTGTTCGAAAATCAATTAAGCAATCAACGAACAGACGAAGCAGCAACTATTAGCAAGCGAATTAACATGATGAGCTAACTTGCACACAGGACATCTCCACAAACTCCTCTCACAGTTGAACTGCAAGTACGACTCCAAGTCAAAACACTGTTTGTTATTTATTCGTTAGCGTTTGTTTATGTTTGTTAACTTTCTCATAACAATGTGAATGGAGGCAATAACTTCAGCCAGCAATCATATTTATTAAAACGTCCATTCAACCATTTAAACAACCATCCAACTGCCACATCGATCAATAAAATAGGGAACTTTCTTCTATCAAATTTATGCAGCAGGTTACTGGAGATGCCAGAGTTGTTAATATCGGAGTATCGATATCGCCAGTATTGTTCCGACAATATTTATGAGTATTCGCTTCGGTACCGGTGATACTTTTTATGCCGAGTATCAAACTTGATGCCTCAGATGCGTTTTATACAGAAAAATATCGATACTCGATAGCGATACTTTTCAGGGCCATGTAGATATATTCTTAATAATGATTATTTCATTTTTTAAAGTTAAGCGTGTTTTCCAATTGTAAGTTTGGATTCAAAAGTCAGTTTTGCTTGTTTGTTTGTTTCTGAAAGCTTCTGTTGTCTCCCGGTTCAAACAATTAATCGTTACGAGGTCATTATCATTTTATATATTAACTACGGAATATTAAGGATGAAATTAGTTCTGTTTTCATGTAGCGCAGTCTAATAAATACAAGTGTGCTGGCATTGCTAGTAATACTTTCAAGAACGAGTTTTGGTTGTATTGTTAAGAACCGGTATTGTTAACAACCCTGGTAGATACAATCGTAATCCATCCCACACCAACACATACACACGCTCACACACACACACACATTGACTTGCTTACCTGAATATGTTTGCAATCGTGACCTCGGGCAGGCAACACAATTTGTTGCGATGTGATTGGACAGCGAAGGTGGAGTTTTATGTGCTCCGGAGTCAGCGATGATGATGACGATGATGACGTTGGGAGAGGAGGTGACAACGATGAATTTGTGCTGCTCTGTTCTTCTGCAGATGTGTGGTAATGTTAGCGGCGTCAACAACGACAAAAACAACGAAGCAGGAAGAAGAAACATTAACAACAACAACCATTATTGATACTTGAACAAAAGTTGCTTACCTGGATTGTTGTTTGTTGTTGATGTTGTTGTTGGTGCTGCTACAGGTGTCTGTTGGAGGAAACTTCGTTTGACTGTTTGTGGTGCAGAACGTTACGCAATAATTATCTGCGGTCGGAATATTCTTTCAAACAATCGACCAACCAACCAATCAACAACCAGCCATCCAACCATAAACAACCAGCCAACCAACCATAAACAACCAGCCAGTCAATTAATGATTGGATCTTACTTTTTGTGATGCAGTGATCAGCAGGCAACATTCTCTTCCTAAGCAGACCTTGCAAGACAGACTTCATGCTCGGACGATGGACCAGTTGTAATACGAACAAGTGAGACTGGGAAATTTAAAATCAACCATTCAATCTATCAACTAATCAAACAACCAATCAATAAAAGCAATTACTAACACAACAACAAGCAGACACAGTGATCTGGATGGTGTTTCGTCCCGGTATGCAGACGTCTTTCAGATAGAGAGGCCGATGTAATGATCTGTGTGTGTACGTGTGTGTGGGAATGCGAGCGTATCTGCTTGTATATGCAATAGAGTAATGACATTCAACTTTTTTCCCAAAATTTTTTCTTGTATCACGAATAGACAAACTTCGTACGTCAAATGGCTAAAATTAGGTTTATTTTATTGAAACACTGAAAAGTCGCAATTTCAATTTTTTTGAAACTTGCACAAAATGGCGTTTTGATGAAGTTTTGTTCAAAGCGAGTAGCTGAATTTCAGTTAACTTAATTTAGTTCTAACTATTTTTTGTCTTCAAAGAACCTTTTATTGTAAAATAATCAAAAACATTTCAGATATCTTTTCAGAGCATTGATATTCCAACACCATGCCAGCTAGCAATCCGCTAAGTAAACTACACGAGAGCTGTTGTGAGCACGCAATCAAAATCATGCAGAAATTAAAAGAATCCATCGCAACAACGCCAACCTTTCTTTGAGGCTCATCCTCTGCAATGACAAATTTATGGGTAATTAATGTTATTTTGTGTTTGAAAAGCTAAAAATCTTTGTATATATACATCTATAAAATTGGATTTTTAATTATGTTTCCATCTTTTAACAACTTCAAAACATAGGAAAAAAAACAGAAAAGTTTATTTAAATTCATTGGCCATGCGATATTTTGCATCAAATTATCAAAAATATATTATTCTATTCCATTAACGATAGGAGTGCATCTATTTATTACATTTAAATGAAGTTATAAAGACGTCATCACCCTTGCATGCAATCATCTTCATTCGTTGCTGGCCTTGAGAACTAATTCATTATAACATCATCAATTAAATAATTAACTAATAGAAACATATATTTATCATAAAGGCAATCATAAGTATCTGTGTCAAAAGATTTTTGGAGCGCCTCTATTGAATAACTTCAGAAGTGCTAGTTTCCCTCGGGAATGTCGAAAGAAATGATGTTTCAAACGTTTCTCGAAAACATGTCGACTCGCATCACAGTAGTCAATTCTTCCACAGATAAAACTACAAACGAGTGCTTTTGTTCACTCAACTGTCAAAAAACGTCTGACTGATCTTATTCTGCGGAGTTCGTAGAAACATCGCTGGCAAAGTTGACTGATATGTTTTATAAATAAAAGATGAGGATCCAGTATGACTCCAAGATTCGTTAGTGGATTTTGTAGTCATTTGAACGGCTGAGGCCATGCGGCGTTCGTTCCCATCCACAAATATCGAGTTTTCTTGACGTTGAGTTTAAGCTTGTTCGATGACAATCAAACAAGCAGCCAACCAAGCTATCAATCAATCACTCAATCAACCAAAAAATCAACCAACCAATCAAGCAATCAATCAGGCTATCAACCTGTTATCACTCCTCTCTATGGAAAGCATTCTGGCATTGACGGATATCGTAACGGAGACCGGCCAGTTGGTGCTTGCTTGTCGATCTTCATGGTGAAAACATTTCAACTGCAACTCTAGGTCAGGTCTGTATGTTTCAGTTAGGACACATACAGACATACATACACACATACATACATACATACATACATACAGACAGACATACATACATACACATATATGCTGACAAAATTTTTGTGTAAAACACTGTATGCCTGCCAAAAATTTTATCATCAACGATCAGCAATTTAAGCAATTTATTGTCGAAAAATCAAATAGTTATTCCTAATACAGATGATGATTATGATCAATCACTTGGTGAAAATAGGTCAAAGGTCAGATGTTTTTCATCATTTTCAATAGTCAGTGACATTGAACTCATGGAAATTATTCTTAAATAGCTATCAAAAACTAGCTCCCTCCATAATCATCACAGCATACCATTATAAAAAAGTACATTGACTTGTTCATGTGCTTTCTTACTAGATTCGCTAATTTGTGTTCGTCATCGGGTCAATTTCCGGCTTGTTCCATGCAATCAGTTTTGAAAAATTAACTTAGAGATGAAGATTATCAAGTGGATTGTTACCGATGGCCTTTTGGCTCGTTTGAAAAGATAATTTGATGCCCGCTCACTGGTCAGGTTGCAGGCAGTACCATTCAGGCAACATACAGTAATATAAATATAAATATATATATATACATATATGTGTGTGGGCGTGTGTATGTGCATTGCTATCGATTGGTTGGTCGATTGATTGATGTGATGTTCTTTGCTTGGGCATCATTCATCCCACGACAACCACACAAGAAAAAGCAGACGACAGGCAAGCACTCCAACACAACAAACCTCATGATGAGGGTTTGGTAGACTGAATCTCTGAGATGAAATACGTGGTTGCTCACATTCAAGTTGTGCTCCAATCGGAACGGAGCCAAGACCACGCCATCTTTAACGGGGAATGTGAGTCGAAGATCGTACGCACCCATCCCTGTTGTCATTGGATACGTTGCTGCGGCTGCTTCTTTCTTCACATTGTACACTGACGACATCTTCCCTCCATTCATCATGGTTGGTTTCATGTCCGGAGATGATGGAGGAAGATAGGGGGGAAGAGGAGAGGTTCCACTGTGCGCCATCATCTGTGACGGGTGGGGGTTGTACATCACAGCCTGGTTGTCATGGTGATGATGATCGTGATAATGATGATGAATATCAATATAGTAGTTATTGTGGCATGAACTAGGAAAGAGCAACTAACTGGATAGTTGTTGTGACTGATGTGATGATGATGATGATGATGTGGAGGGGGCGGAGGCATCCCGTACTGCCCTCCAGAGGAACCTGCATAACCCTGCATAACATTCGTGGGCCTCATTAGCTTTCCATACATCATCGATTGGTTGACACCAGCTCCAAATGATCCATTAGATCTACCCATCATGTTGTTGTAGCTGGAGGCCATTTGGTGATTAGTTCGAGCATTGCCTGACCATCCATACATTTGATGGTGGGGGATGGAAGGTGGTTGCATTGATGGTGGAGGCAGTTGAGCGTAGGGGTGGGGGTGGCATTGGTAGGCCGATGCTCCATACTGCATTGCATAGTTTATTTTCAATCAAGATTAAGATAAATAACATAAAAAAAATAAAGAAGATTGAGTTAGAACACGAAACATTAAAGTAAGATCAAGTTAACTAACTAAATGAGAGCAGCTAAAAAGGAAATGGTTGATACAATTTTAAAGAAATCATCATTATAATAAAAACCTCAAGTGAAAGTGAAGCTGGAAACTGGGCCCTTTTACTTTGCATGTAATGTTGTTGAGCCGTCGGGTAAGGGGTTGATCTGACAGCATTGTAGGCATTGTTGTTTTTCACTGGACCCCTTGGGTTACATTTGGCTGCATCCAATGAGTTCTCTGAATTTATATAAACTCCTGAAAATTCAGAAGATGTCGGCTTGCTTGGATAGATTTGTTGTGAATTCAGGTGGTAAGAAAAAGTTTGTGAAGACGATGACAGCGAGGAGTTGCTATTGACTGGCAAAGAATTTAGAGTCGCACAAGGACCCATCTGCTGCTGGGAAACATATTAATGAATTCATCATTATCACAATTAGCAATTAAAAAATAAACCAAACAAATTAAAATTTAATTAAGCTTTATTTATTTAATAAAAAATGATTCAACATCATTACAGCTAAAGCCCAGTTTTATGTGTAATGTAAACAACATGGGTGAAGTCCTTTAGCAGTATTTTTTGTGGGTGGCAATAAGATTATTCTTACATCTTTTTATATTTCACTTTTTGTTTTAAATTCAATTTGTTTAAAAAAAATAAATGGTATCAAATGCTTAAGGTCAATTTAGTTAAATTAGTAGACTATCTTTATAAAAACAGTAACTGTAAATTAGAAAAAGCAAATCATGTTAAGTAAATGTAATTGACAATTGTAAATATTTTAATAAATTAAATTACTTAAAATTTAAATAAAAACTTTGTGGTGGAAATAAAATTTGGTGAACACTTTTATCTTTTGTTAGGTCAATTAATTAATTGGTTATATGTTTAATTAAAAAATTTCAAATAACTAATACTAAATAAAATCTCAATTAGTTAAATAAACATTAAATAATTTAATTACTTAATATTAATTTTTAATTATAATTAATTTTTAAATTAAAATTTAATAATTAATAAATTAATAAATGCTTCATTTCATACCCAGTTTTTCGTGGTTGTAATTTTTATTTAGTTGCCCTATTTTAAATTTAATAAACAGAAAATAATTCGTAACCGACTTACGAAAAACGAGAAAAAATAGATTTTATCTCTAAAATTAAATTAAATTAATCAAAAAAAAGTAGTGAGTCTAAAAGTTAATTGAAGTATAAAATGGAGATGAATCAAGTTGAATTCTCGAGTTTTGGTTAAAAGTTGAGTGGACGAATTATGTAACGTAAACTAATTCAACATTATTGCACCTATTGATATCACACACACACACACTCGCCACATGAACGCTGTGTGATGATTTCTTAACAGATTTTCAAGTGGTTGGACTTGTACGCATTAAAGCTATGTTGTTAGTTTTATATACAATATAATGTAATATTAATATATTAGTGGCGTTGTTGTGTGGCCTGAATGAATACACACTATTTTCTTATCAAAAAGACCAGAAAGGTAAATTGTAAATTCAAGTAAATCATGATCATCATTTCAGTTTCACATGCCTTTTTCGTAAGAAACAACGTAAAATATGTAATGGGTAATAACAACTTATTAACATGATGATTAGAAGATGTTATATTTGGAAGCTGCAACATTGGTTGTTGTGGCATTGGTAGCAGCAGCAATAAAATTATTAGAATACTTTACATGTTTGTGTCCGCAGATCGTTTCAATATTAGTGGTTCGTTCCTAATAACTGTTCTTAATAATTTTAATTTAGCAAACAAATTAAACAATTATTAAATGACTCAAATTTCTTGACATGAAATATTTTTTACCTCGGATTCATCAGCTTGACTTGTTTTAATGTTGTTGTTAAATTGTGTTTGTTGCTGTCTATTTGGTAATGAAGCATATTGGCTTTTATTTTGATGGTTTGCATTTAACGTTTCTTTGTTAATTTCGTTGTTGCTGGTGTTTTGGCTGCTGTTGCCTGGTGAATATTCGTGAAAATCATCTTTAATGAAGTCATTATCGCCAGTGGTTTTATCATCGTTGTTGTTGCTGCTGTTGTTGCTGTTGTTGTTTTCGTTGATGCTACTGTTGAGGTAGTTAATGCTGGAAACATTTGGCGTGAAATTCGCAGTCGATTTATTTTGCTGCTGTGTGCCTTCGTTTGCAATGCTATTTTTGACGTTGTCTTGAATGTTTGAGTGATTATTTTTGGAATGAATTGGCGAGTTGTCGTTGTTTATTTCACTTCTGAGGTTATTATTGTCGCTGATTGTGGTTGCAGCGATTGTTGAGCTCACAGTAAATGTTGATGCAAAAGTGGTTGTGTTGATGTTGTTGTTGATGTTGTTGTTGATGTTGTTGTTGATGTTGTTGCTGATGTTGTTGCTGATGTTGTTGCTGATGTTGTTGTTGATGGTGCTGCTCGCATGATTGAACGCCGACGTTTTTTGATCATTTATAGATGATGTAGTATCTTTGTTGTTTGCGCTGCTGCTGTTTACGTTGCTGTTATTGCTGCTATTTTTGTTGTTGATGTTGTTTGTATTGTTGTTGATAATTATGTTGTTGTTGATGTTGTTGTATACTGTGTTGATTCTATTTTGGTAGGTTCCTGTTAGGAGAGGGTGGGTGTGCAAAGATGGCCAGGTGAGCAGCGGTGTAGGTTCATCTAACTTATCATCATTTTGCGTCAACACATCATTATCATCCGTACACAACACACAAACAGACAGATTCTCGTTCTCTCTCTCTCACACACACACACACACACAAACACACACAATCAGACAGACAGACATACACATGAACTCTTAAAGACATTCATTGAAAGAGACAAAAATGATTATGAACCAGATGTAGCGATAGATCTGTGGTAGATGGATTGCTCTGTTGATGTGCTCTGCTGCTGGCTCCATGCTGGTCCAAATAGGAGGGGAGGTGTGTTGAGCTGCTGCTGCTGTTGATGTTGTTGATGTTGATGTTGTTGATGTTGTTGCTGTTGATGTTGTTGATGTTGTTGTTGCTGCCATTGTAACATGTCACTCATGTGATTATTGCCTCTGTTTAGTTGGAATTTCTTATATCAAAATATGCAAATTATATGTTATTATATGATAAAATAAATGTTTATAGAGTAACACAAATTTGTTAATTTTAGATTAACCCCAGACTAATACACTGACTGATAAATACAAAAGACAGACAGACAGACAAACAGATGTATAGAAACATACAGGCAGTTGAGTAATTGAAACGACTTACAAAATTTGTGGTGATGGTGCGGGAGAAAAAGCTGTTGAACTGTTGTTTTTGAATGATGATGTTGAAGATGATGATGACAAAGATGATGGAGATAACAATGAAGGTGATTGAAATGTTGACAATGATGCTGACTTATTAGTTGATGATGATGATGATGATGATGATGATGATGACGACGAAGACGATGATGATGTTGGTTTGTTGTTGGAGGGATGACGTAGCAGAAGATGACGCCCCAAATCTTCACACCAAACGGATAAAGATCCTAAATTAGTGTAAATAAAATAATCAAAAAAATTGGGCATGTTGTTTTACGATATATACCACGATGTTCTCTCTCTCTCTCTCTTCCTCTCCCCCCCCCCCCTCTCTCTCTCTCTCTCTCTCTTATTTATCTTTTTTTGTGTATAAATGTGTATAGGTAGGTAGATGATAAGTAGTTAGAATAGAACAAGTATTTGCCATTTATTGATTGAAATATTTTATCATTATTTTCAACAAAAGGTTCGCGCACGCACACTGATGCAGGTTCTCATCTATCAAAAGACGATGCTGAAGATAACGACGACGATGATGATGACGAAAATGAACAATAAATTAACTAAAGTTTTCTTGAAGCTTTCCACAATCAGCTTCTACAACATCATCAACAATAACAACAACAACATCAACAACAACAACAACATCAACTAACCAACTAACGAAGGAACATGACGAGAAGAAAAAAACACCAAGCAATTTAATAGAAATATTAAACAACATTGCGAGAAAGATCGTTTCCACGTTTACCTAGTACACTTCATACTCGCACCTGTCTTACTTCATCAACATACATACATACATACATACATACATACATACATACATACATACATACATACATACATACATACATACATACATACATACATACATACATACATACATACATACATACATACATACATACATAAATACATACATACATACATATATACATACATATACAAAATGCACTAAATTGTATATACATATGTACAGACATATATGCCTACATACCTATATTTATATAATATGCATCGCTTTTTGAATAAATTGATAAAATTGTCGACGGTTAAAGTGATGATGATGATGAGGATAATTTTATCAATGATGGTGTTGATAATTGTGATGATAATTGTGATGATAATGATGATGATGATGTAAATATAGAACGTTAAAGAAATTAAGTTAGCGTGCTATAAAATTGGATGAAAATGTTTAAACGGTCAGTTATTGTAGGATGCCAGTGAATGAGAAAATGAGTGAGAAATGAATGAGAAAACTCACTCACTCACTCATTCACTCACTCACTCATTGATTTACGTGCTCACTCAAGTTTTCACTATCAATTTAGAAGGCATTCATGTCAGCAAACGCCAGAGAGGCGGTGAGAAGACCATCTACTTAGAGAGACACCGAAATTTTACATTCGGATTCAGCCATTTTTAAAGGTGCTAACATTGCAATATTCGTTTGAGGTATCACTCTCTTTACTTCTCAGCAATACATTATTGATAATGGAGAGATTTGCTCAGGCCATCACGACAGTTGAGACAGGGGAGTTTGAACGAGAAGTAGGAAATTGTTGGATAGACATGAACCATCTACTGATTTTTTTTCAATAGCTTGTTTTTTTTTCTAGAAACATTTTTTTTCAAAATTGTGGGTTTTTTGTTTTAGGCCTACGGCTTCAAGCAAATGGCGGATCAATTATTCGACTATTCGCCAAATTCACTATTCAGTGCATCTCTACAATCTCCACAATCAACTACATCAGCGATGTGACGTCATTAATAACCAAGTGAATACAACTTTCATTAGCTCAGTCATTGTACAACAACACCACCAACATCCATCCATAAATACATACATACATACATCGCCATGCAAAACAACAAATTACACCATCATCACAAAAAACACTAAATAAGTGAAGATTACTGCTCGACAAAGAACATGAAGAACATTTTCCTAAACCTAGAGCAAGTTGTTGTGCACGTGTTGCTATCGTTGATATTGTTGTTTTGATGTTGTTGATGTTTTTTTTATAAACTGTTGACGTTGTTGCAATTCATTAACGTTCTTGTTGTTTTTAATTGAATGTTTTCAAGCGGGCTTGCTTCATTCAAATGAAATTAAAATCATTATCCAATTAGCGGAAAATTCAATAAAAAATCTATTAAGTAGAAGTACAACATTCCAACCGCTTGGTGATTGACTGGCAAGTCAACCAGTCAACCTGCTAACCAATTGACAAACCAATCAACCAATCAAACAACAGACCAACTAATCAATCAGACAACCGACCAATCATTCAGCCAATCCACTGACAAACTAACCAGCTGATTTAGCAGATAGTTTATCCCTATGCGTAGCACATACAGCCAGCAATCTGTAGCCAAGATCGAGGTCGAAGCCAGGCTGCGTGCAAAACTGACTGACAACCTTAGCATAAAAATATGGTCGTGCGTCATGCATTCATTAATTTTTTCCGTTTGATTCTTTCGTTTACTCATTCATTCATCTGTCCATCAATACATTCATTCATTTATCCATCAATTCATTCATCCATCCATCGACCACCATCTGGACGAACAGTGAGGCAGGCGAGCAGACAGTGTTCGAACTGCCATTGGAAGGCCCTGACATCACTACACCACTCCAACAACTCCCTGGCCGCACTCTGGAATGTACTGGCTGACATCAGATGCTGCGTGATGGTGGTGGTGATGATATTGATGTTGACCAACAAACCAACCAACCAACCAGCCAGCCAGCCCACGATGTTTCATTTAGGCCATGATCCATCGTCAACAGCATTTCTTCTCAGCCATCGACAATGTTTGTATGAGTGTATGTATGTATGTATGTTTGTGTGTGTGTTTGTTTGTTTGTGTGTGTGTATGTTAACAACAACATCATCACCATCATTATCATCATCATTACCACCACCAACAACAACAAAAATCAACAACAACAGCAACAAACTTGTTGAATGCATAACAATCTGTCGTTCGTTTGTTGTATATGTATGTCAACGTCGGTAGTGCTGTTGTTGTTGTTGTTGTTGATGATGATGTTGTTGTTGTTGATGTTGTTGTCACTCATCGTAGTCGTTGTCATCATTCTGTTTGCATTTGATGTTTATATTGCTTTCTAATTTGCTAAACGATTTTTTAACTTCAATTTTTATTCGAATTGTTGATTTTGTTGTTGTTTGTTGTTGTTGATTTTTTTTTTGAGGGTGTCATTGTTGTCATTAAAGTTAATAATGTTGCGATGTTGATGTTATTGATGTTGTTGTTGGCGTAGCTACTGACTTGTTTGTTACATTTGAATGTGGCTTAAAATTATCAAAAGCTTTATCAACATCATCATCTTCTTGTTCATCACCATCTTCATCCACATCGTCATCTTCCTTATCACAATTAACCTAATTGAGTTTGTGATGCTCAAATGTTTACAGTAACGAAAATTTACTCTATCTGAGTTGGGCTGACTTTTCTAGAAAGTTTATCCTTACGTTACTTTCATTAATATTACTATTGTATTATTATTATTTTAAAATATTATTATTATAATTATTATTATTATTTTATGTACATTTATATTATTATTATTATTATTATTATTATTATTATTATTATTATTATTATTATTATTGTTTCTTTCATTTCATGTATGTTTTTACGATGAAAATAAAAAGATTGTTATCATTATTATACTTTATTTCATCTTAAACTTTATGAAGTTGATCAAAAAGCAAAGATTGAACTTTCAAAAACTCTTAAATTATTACCATGACATAGAAAATGAAATAAATTTGCGTATCTATGATTATGTTACATCATCAGTGTTTGATTTTTATTTACGATTTCTAATCTATGCATTTATTTATCTATGCTAGACCCTTGCAATAGCAATCGTATCAACCTCACGAACGATCTTCAGTATAGTTGCATATATTTATTCTATGCTTCCATGTATTTATTCTATGCATCTTAAAGTATGTTCTACATTCTTATACATTCCAGGCATATACATTCTCTGGTTCGATCTATATTATATAAATCTTCAAATGAATGCACAGAATTCATCCATACATTTAGATTGATACTATGAAAATTGATTTCTAACAAACTCTATAAACCTTATAAGAAAGACTCTGTAAAACTTTGTATGACTCTATAAAACAAAACTCTATAAACTGTACAAATCTATAAACCCTTGAGTGTTTGGGTAAAGACCCTGTGAAACCCCTANACTCTTCTCTCTTTCTCCCTAAACTCTATACATACATACATACATACATACATACATACATACATACATACATACATACATACATACATACATACATACATACATACATACATACATACATACATACATACATACATACATACATACATACATACATACATTATATATTTACACATCCTTAATGTTTGTTCTCATCTTATTTCTTCAGTATGCAAAAAATTAATTCATAACAATCATTTATTGAATTAATATTAAATGTAATATATATATATATATATAATATATAAAATATATAATGTATAATAAATATATATAATTTACGAGTCAATACTCATAGAAGGAAGACATCCGATAATAAATACTGAACAGCGTGCAATTTGAATCATTTCCACTAATAAATTTAAAAGCAGAGGAATCATCTATAACGGCGTTAAGTTTTAACGTTGAACGAACAAAGAATCAACAGAGTAGAAACACAGTATGCATATATATATATTTGAGCATGGAGTATTAATATACCGCATATGAACTTGTTTTATTTTCTTTGTTTAATTCGATGACGTGGCGACCAAGCAGAGCCTTAGAGCGATAATAAAGCACATACTTCCTTATTCAATTTCATTCCCCTATTACCGCTCAATCGACTTTTCTATCCGTTACATAGAACTATATGTTATGACGTAATTTCATTTTCATCTCAATGCAGCACAAAAATTCGTCTGTTGTACATTCATCATCTTTCATTTGCCCTGTTTGTAGTATTGTTACTGCAGCATATAATAATAATGATGACGATATTGTCTTTGTTTATTATGATAATGATGACGACAAAGACAACGACTAGGATGATAAAGATGTTGGCGGCGATGATGATGATGTTGTTGTTGATGACGACGATGGTGACGATGGCGAAAGTAATAACGTCGACTTGATGCTGAACGTTTGTAGCTGTTTACAATCGCATGCACAAGCGGTCATTGCGCGTGTGTGCGTGCGTGTGTGCGTGAGCTTGCCTCTATGAGTGTGAGGGCGACGATGCAGAGGAAGGCGATGGTGCGTGTGTACTATCGAGCAAGCCGACAAACGCGTAGAGAGAAGCACTCACACGCATGTCGGTGCGTGAAAAAGCAACACACACGTTCTTCAGACTCTGGGAAAAGATGCGAAGATGCATGCATGCATGCATGTATCAGCTGCAGCAGCAGCACGCACGCACGCGCACACACATGCCATATATATGCGCATATATACACATATTTATAGCAAGCAAAAGTGAGTGTGGCATGTCAAGAAGAGATGATTGGGTGAGTCGTTTAGTCAGACCGCTCCACCAGATTTCAAGCAATATCAGTGCTACTATTGTTGCTGTTGTTGTCGCCGCCGTCGTTGTCGTCGTCGTCGTCGTCGTCGTTGTTGTTGTTGTCGTTGATGTTGTTGTTGTTGTTGTCGTTGATGTTGAATATAAATTATTTCCATTTAACGTTAACAAGTTTGAAGACCTTAACATCAAAAGCAACATTACAAAAAGAAGAGAAACAACAACATAAACACCACCACCATCATCATCATCACCACCATCATCATCATCAACAGCAACAACCATGGTGGTTGCATGGATTGACAACAAGTTGTTGCATCCCGGACAGGCAGGCTTGCTCTCCCGCACATCTTCAACACAGTTCCCATTGTTATTTGCAAACACTTACTCACACTCGCACACACACACATACACAAACAGACGCACAGAAATGGACAGGAACGTAATGCTGTATGTAGCAGTGTTTGTGATCGGCGGTGCGACAAACATGCCAGCCAGTAGTCCTCTTCTCTGCTCACTCACTTAACAAATATTTTTTTCTTCTATTAATCTTCTACTCACTTATTAAACCCCGTGTTAAATCATTCATTTATTCATATTCAGTCATTTTTTCTTTCTTTCATTCAATTATATGTCTGCCCATAAACCGTTGACTAGTTTTCTTTTACAACATCATCATCAACAAAAACAACAATATCATCATCATCATCATTATCATCAACAACAACAACATCAATATTATCATCATCATCATCATCACCGCACTGCCTCTTCTTCCTAATAGCATCACAGCAGATAGAATCAATAACCGACCACCCTTTGTGCACACTTATGCATGTATGTATGCATATATGTATGCATGTATGTATGTATGTATGTATGTATGTATGTATGTATGTATGTATGTATGTATGTATGTATGTATGTATGTATCTTCACATGTAGGTATGTACACAAATATGTACACAGATAAACACACATCGTGCATGTACAATACATGCACATGCATACAGCAAATACGCAAATACATACGTACGACATTTTCTTATAGGCAACCTTGTTCTCAAAAACTAAAGCTTACTTCATCATGGACACATATAATTAACATGACACAGTTTTTTTTATTACCGATATTGTTGTTATTATTTTTGTTGTTGTTGTTAATATTATTGTTATTCTTATCATTATGGTTGTTGTTGTTGTTGTTAACAAAATGCTCCTTGTGTTAATAGAGACATCACCTTCATTTGATTTTGCCTTTCGTCTATGCTTTATTTAGTAGCATGTAACTCTTGTGTATGTATGTGTGTTTGTTTGTATACTTGTATGTCTGTATGTTTTTTTGTTTGCTTTTATGTTTGTAAGTTTTTTTGTTTGTTTGTATGTATGTATGTATGTATGTCTATATGTTTGTATATATGTTTGTTAGTATGTATGTCTGCATGTTTGTATGTATGTCTGTATGTTTGTTTTTATATCTGTATGTTTGTTTGTTTGCACGGATGTGTATGTTTGTATGTATGCATGTTATGCAAGTATGTACCTTGCCGGTCGAGACTTCTTCGTTCAAAAATCAAACAACCGGCTCACTCGTTTTCACACACACACACACACACACACACACACACACACACACACACACACACACACACACACACACATATATATATATATATATATATATATATAAACAAAGAAATACACACACAGATACATACATAGACAGACGTACATACAAAGCCTATTGCAGAGAAATTTGTGGAGTAATGTGTTATAATTCTTAATTTTCTTCTTCTTGTCGGCGTTGAGCGCTAAACAAATTTATCACCAAAAGCGGAAATTATCTTCGGCTGGTCATAATAACCCTTTCTCTCTCTCTCTCTCTCTCTCTCTCTCTCTCTCTCTCTTTCTCTCCTTGCTTGTTATAACTGAACTTCTGCTTCTGTCGTTCTGTGTGGTGATGGTAGTGATGATGGGGACGATGAAAAAGGTTTTTGTTATGTTTTATGTATGTCTGCATGTTTGCTTGTATGTTTGTTTGTTTGTCTGGTTGTGTTTCTGCTTGAACGTTACGAACTTGCGCGGCTACTGCTGGCATATGCATCTTAATAAATCATTCCCACCAACGTTTATTTTTCCATTTTCATCTTGTTCATTCATTCATTCATTTATTCATTCATTCATTTGTTCATTCATTCATTCATTCATTCATTCAATCCTTGATCTACTGATTTGCAATTTATAAATATTAATCATATCTTTCATCTCTATAGATTCCATGAAAACTCATCAAGATTTGTTCGAGATATTTTCGTTGTAGTGCTAAGCATAACAAGTTACATTCTAACTTCACCACAGGTCCCCACCAGTTGTTATTCAACAATTCATATTTTAAAATGGCGTATCGAGTTGAAATTTAGGACACTGTTGAAAAATAACATTGTCCTTCGCATAACAAAATTTTAAATGGAAAAATGTTGGAGTTAGGAGTTTTTCATTTTTGTGACATTTTAGTTGTTCATTTCTGCTGACAGTCTTGGGCATTTGACGACGTTGCGTTAATGTTGTTCATTTCCAAAAGTACGTAAGAGAGGAATTTCGAACTTTGATGTGTTATTCATCTTAATTACCTCTAAAAACGTTATTAACTTTAATTAAATTGGATAACAAATGATCGAGTTATTTGACATACGCACATCGCCCATACGCACAAACCTGCCTGCCCACACACTATCACTCTGAAATGGGTTCAATGCAAGAAGAGATGCTGTAGTCGAGATGGCTATACGACGTTAGCTTGTCTGTGTGTTTGAGTGTGCATCTTTGCTTATATGTGTGTGTGTGTATGTATGTATGCATGTAAGTATGTATGGGTGTGTGTATGTATGTGTGTGTGTGTGTGTGTGTGTGTGTGTGTGTGTGTGTGTGTGTGTGTGTGTGTGTACCTGTCTGTTTGCTTGAGCTCATGACTGCGTCAGTGCCGATAACAACATCAACAACACAAACAAATAACAATTGTCGGTAGGAAGAGCATTGCTTGATAATTCAAAAGCTCGTTCAATTCTGCTCATGCTTTTATTCGTTCTTTTTTCATTTCATTTGCGTGAGATTCAAGATGGCGAACGACAGTTTGAAGGCAAACATGGCGGTTTCCAGTTTATTCATTGGTGCGCAAATGGTCTGCAAGCGTATTGACGCGCAAATGGCTGCCATTATTTTGTTTTATTACTCTTTTTAGTTTTGTCCAACCTTATTTACGGCTTTTTGTTGCAGCTTCGCAGTCAGGTTCTTCTGTCATTCCATTTCTTCTCTCTACCGTCATCATCGTCGTCGTCGTCATTATCAGCGTTGTTATGTCAATGAAGTTTCACTCTCGGTGGCACTGGGTAGAACATGCTAGAAACATTTACTTTAATGAATGCAATGGATGTGAGCAGCACATTTGCAAATCTGCGTCCGTTGCAGGTGAGGAATTGTGATAACAAGATCAACAGTCTTTATTGCTCTTCAATGATGAACACAATGCAACATGCAACAACCACGTTCACTAAAATTGAATGCAAGCAACAAAAATAAACAAAAAAACTTTAAAAAATTTATAAAACGCCACTGAATCGTCAAAAACAGCAGAAACACAAGAACACAGGCTAACAATTAAGCAAAACCATCACGTAGAACTTAAAACTCGAAAGATAATTTTCTTGCTTCTTTTTTTACTAACTCACTCACTCACTCATTCAGTCACATCGTAAACTGGATAGTGATAATTTGGTTTCAACTTCGTCTGTTGCGATCTCTTCTCCCAAGATGATGATGATGATGATGATGCTGACGACGACGATGATGATGATGTTGGTGCAGAAAGCAATCTATGATGTTCCACTGATAAAAGTTTGAAAATACACATTTAGATTGTAAAGTTTGAAGAAATTAACCACATTTGTAGCTAGAATTAGACTGGAGACTTTTTTTTGCCCAACACGTCAATTTTTGGTCGATGATTTTTTTAGTGTAAAATAAATAGTATTTTCCTGCGTAAAAACTGAGTTTTACTGACCTTTAACCACAATGGATTAACTAAATTTTTTCATTAACGATTTCTATTGCTGAATAAATTTAACTTAATTTAGAAAGGTTGTTTATATATTATTTTTCTCATGGCTATCAACAATTCATTAAAAATTATTCCACAAATTTTATTTTACAAATTGATAAAAAATGAAACAACAGATTATCTAATATTCTTTTTAAAAGGGTTTTTGATTCATAAAGAATAGTTATAAGTTTCAAGTATGTGAGTTTAATATAACTTTTATTTTCCCATCGTCCTCATGTCTTAATGAGATAACTTTAGAGATAAATACTTTTGTCTTACTTACCGCATTTTCATAGTAAACATGCGTACTCGCTGATCTTTAGAAACAGAAAAATGGCAGAATGTAGTGGTTCTCTTAGTGGTACGAGATGTGATAAAATTTCTTCGAATCGTCCGAACAACATTTTAACATGGAATACATGGATTGAAAAATATTCTCTACCAACTGGCAGAGGTATTTTGATGACAAATTTGAAACCATTTTTTAAAGTTTGTTTACTTGTTTTGAATTGAAGTAATAAGTCCCTAGCTAGCTGGTTTTCTAGTTCTAGAGAAACCCTAATTTAATTGGTGATCTTTTAGTTTGAGCTCCATCGCTCAATCACACACATATTGTTCCCGTGATTAAAGCATACGTTCTACAAATGAATGTTGAACAAGTCAAACATTTAATGAATTTGATTGATTTGTCATATTTTGTAATATTGGTTTTTTTATTTTTTAATGATTGTTGTTTATTATTATTATATTTTATTTTATATGTTTTCTGTCTAACATAACTTTCTTGACTACATCCCTATTATATGATGATATAATTTATCTGCAAGTGCCTAGACCCTTACTTAGAGCCTTGATTGCTTATGTTTTGCTTTGTCATATATATCTTACTTGTGTGTATATGGCAAAATATTTTATATAAGTTCAATTTAATTTTATTTTTTATTTAAAGAAGAAAAAAAGACAAACAATGATTCCATTAAAATTTATAAAACCGGTAAGCTTACTTTTTTTTATATATTACAGTTGCCTTGGTAAAAGATTTTTTTTTAAATTGCCTTTTTTGGCTTTTAACAAAGATATCACTCATCATAACTTATATTAGTGGAATTTGAAATGTTATCTGTATTAGTAAGATCTTTTAATAAACTGAAAATTAATCATTTTTTGTAATAAAGAAATCAAATTTAGTAAAAAAAAACTAATTAGATATTGGTATATACGGGATATCTCCTCGCCAAGATGATGTGTGTCTAGTCTTATGCCAAGTCTGCAAGCAAATATATAAAGTTCAAGCTCTGCATGGACATTATGGTTACACTGTTATTCTTATTTCTTTACAATGTTTCTCTCCATTTCAATATATTATTTATTTTTGCTATTCTTTCTATGATAATCTTATTTTGGAGATAGTTTGATATGTTGTATATTTGTTATATATATGTTGTATTATGTTAGGCATTCCTGTCATGTTTGCGCTGTAGTGTTACAGTTTTGTTAATGTAAGCTGAGAATTTATATCTGTTTCTCGACACTCATTTTTTTATAATGAATTTTAGCAACACTGCTTTTAATGAATTATATTTATTCAGAACGTCGTCATGCAGAAAGATTGTCACAGGTCTTGCACCAGACGATGTCATCAAGGAAGGAATATTTTGATTCTTCTTGTTTTGGAATGTCAATGAACAATAGACATCATCTAATTGGTGATGTGAGGAAGGAGGAACTCTCTTTCGTCACTGCTGATGGTGATATTGAAAGAGAGGGAGAACAACAACAAATGGAGGAGGAAGAGGAGGCTCTATCCCCCTTGCATCTCCATTTGCCTGGTTCGCCCCAAAATGCTGCACGTAACAAAAACAATGGCACCAACCTTTGCACCACCGGTAGCCACAGGACTAAAGACAGACGTGTCCCTGGTCAAGCTGCTGATGTCAGAAACAATAAATTTAACAAAACTAACGAAATTGATAATAAAAGTAATAATAAGAATTCTAATTGTAATCTTCCTGATGTTAAAAGTGAAGAAGAGGAGAGGCTGACAGCCGACCAAATGTGGGATAACATGATAAAAACTTGTGGCAGAAGTAGCAACAACACTGGCTTAAATATGAATAAATATGCTTATGAGTATGACAATCATAAAGACCCAACATACAATAGTTACAGTAGCAATAAGAATAATAATGAAAATAAGCTGCCAAATATTACTTTAACAAGTGAAACAAAAGGTTTTACGCCATCTGGCACAACATCTGCTGCCTCTACTACAACAAAAATGACCACATCAACACATAGATCACCCCCTCAGCTTGCAAAAACTTTGACATCAACAACTGCAACATTAAAAATCTCAACAGCAACAACAATATCAACAACATCTTCATTAACGTCAACAACAGCCACAATTAAGAAACCCTTTCCATTCATGATAGCCCGCAAGTCCATCTCTAACATGTATCCAGGCACTGAAAAGTCAACATTTAGTAAAAATAAATTGAATTCCACTAATTCCCTAATTTCACATTTCACTGATTTACCAACCAATCTGGGCTCGACTACGGGGGCCAGGATAACTTCACAGACAGTCTCTATAAAACGAACAACATTGAACTCCAGTTCTGTTTATGATTTTGATGATTTGACAGCCAGTAAATCTAAAGACCATGCTGATAATAGTAACAAATTATGTAATAATAAAACTGACAGTAATAATAATAATAGTAACGATAGTTGTAGCATTGGTAACAGCAATGATAGTGACGCTTCAATGAATAATAATAGTGCTACAAATGTGGTTAATAATTGCAAATTAAGAGGAAGTGTTAAAACCAAAGCCAAGAACTGCTTGAGAGATGGGGGTGATGGAAGAGGAGGTGAAGGTGCCAGAGATGAAAATGATGGCGCAATTTCTAAATATAAATTGATTACAACTACTTCAAATAAAAAATTAAAGAAAAGCATTTGGACTGACGAAGAAGAGGAAGATGATGATACAAAATTGTTTGCGAGTAATAAACTCAATAATCTTACACCAACATCATCGACAACGGCAGCAGCACCAACAACAATGCTATCAACACTCTCTTTGACCAGTCATTCTAGTGCATTGAACACAAGCAAGCCTAGCCTCCAACCTTCCAAGAATAAAAGCTTAGGTTTATCTTCCTTTTTTGTTCTCTTCTTATTAAATTAAACTTATTTAGTTACATGGATTGTTGGCTTGGTAGGGTGTTATGTTTGAGGCATTAATTATTTTAAGATCTTACATTTTGGTTGAGCAATTTAATGTCATTTATTATTAAAAAATTTTTATATTAACAACTAAGTTTTGTTTTCAATAATTTTTTGTTGTTGATTTTAACAGTAAAAGAGAAAAGTGAAGTTCATAAGAACAAAAATACCAAAATTCATCCAATCAAGTCAGCAGACTCAGCAGTAGCCCTATCTTTATTATCTTCTTCCTTGTCATTCTCCTTCTCATCGACACCATCATCATCATCTTTGCTTTCATTCCATAAAAGTTGTTCATTGGACAGCAGAATGGTTGGTGCTACAACAACAACATCAGCGACAACATCCTTGATAACTTCAACTCCTCTTGTAGTCATATCATCACCATCTTCTAACATCCCGAATATCAGCAACACGAAAATGAATAGGAAAAATACAAAAATGAAGAACATTTGCTCCGTCACTAGTTCATTTGATGATTCCCTCCCTACATCCACCATTCTTCAGCTCTCATCAAAGATAACAACACCAACAACAGCAGCAACACCAACAACAGCAGCAACACCAACAACAGCAGCAACAAACTTGTCAAAAACAAATAAACATCACAAACTATCAAAAGTTACAGCAACATCAGTTACAATATCATCAATTACAGCACTAACAACAGCGACACCATCGTCAATAAATTCATTCAGCTCTGTTATGTCCAGTATGGGTCATTATAAAAGGCCGATGAAGAAACATTCAAAGAGATCGTTGGATGGCAAAGCAGCAACTGAAACATCAACTAATAATGAAGAATTGACAACAGTCTTTCCTACAATGAAGAATGACATGAATGGCGACGGTAGTATTAAAAACAACGTCAACGCTAATTTCAACAAATGCCCTAGAAAGGAGCAAACTTGTTTAAAACCAGCAGTTAATGAAATGAACTTTAAAGAGAATAAAATTATTGGCGAAGCAATTGATAATGTTGACATCGTTGGTCATCGTCCTCATCATCAACATCACCATTCAGCCAGTGATAAATTCAAAAGTAATGCTTTCTTAATTTATTCCTCCTCTTCATCCTCATCAACATGTTCTTCTAGGCAGTCATCACCAATTGCTAACAAAAAGTTTAAAAATATGCATAATAATAATAATAGTAATAATAATAACGATGATGATAATAGTAACAGTAATAGTAACAAGAAGGTTGGATCACCAATATCTAATACTTCACTTAGTGGTGTTAATGCCAGAATTAACCACAAGTCCAAATCAACAACAGCAGCCTCAAAAACATCAAAGACGTCAACATCGGCAGTAGTGACATCAACATCAGCAACTGTTTCAAGCAAATTTTCTAACATGTCAAAAAGAGACTTGCTGTTGAATGCAAAGAAGTCTATGATCAAGAAGGGCTATAAGGAATCATTCGTGAAGGAAGTTGACAGCTCACCATCACCACCCACACCCTCACTTCCTACCAATGATGACAAGCAATCAGAAATTTATTCCTCTAATGCAGCCAATGCTAAACAAAATACTTCTAGAATTTTTATGTCCGAAAGTGGCGATAGTGAAGATGACGATGATGGTGATGTTTTCAATTCTTCTAATTGTTCTCAATCATTCTCACAACGTTCAATCAGTAGCACATCAAAGGCAGCAACAACAACTACAACAAATCACAATAATAAATATAAGAAGTATCTTATTGATTCAAGTAGTGACTCGTCCATATCTGACTCAGATCTACTTAGCATTGTACGATCTTCAGCCAACGTCAAAAAGTGCAACAGCGACGGGAATACTTTAAACAATGAAATTCTCACTTCATCCACTCGATCGACGAAATTTTTAACAGCTCCATCATCTATAGGCAACAAAACAATCCCTACAACATCTCTTGCAACAATTTATTGTATCAGCAACACTGCAACTAAAGATAACAAATTAGATAAGGTACCACCATCACCTGCGTCTTCCACTTCGTCTACGGTATCAAAGAAAAGATGCAGAAATGATGACTCCAGTTTGGAGAATAGAGGCAAGAAGTTTAAACCCTGCAGCAAAACATCAGCACCTACCAGCAGCACCACAACAGCAAATGATTCTTCAACAACTTTCAACCAACACCAGCAATCTAATTCTCAATCCCTTTCAAGTAGAAAGAACAAGATGAAGATCAAACCAGTTCAACATCAACATCATCAACTTAAATTGCACAACTATCCATCTCCTTCTTCTTCTTCGGAGCCAATTGACCTTTTAGACTCTCCACTTTCTAGGCAAGTGACCATCCTGCAACAACAACAACAACCACACTTCAACAAAAATTATTCTTTCTTTGGAACAACTAATAATAAATTGATGGTTACGACAGCATCGCCGACGTTAATAACTTATAATCCTGATATTCATTGTGGTGTTGTTGGTCCAAATAAACTACCATGTATGCAACACCTCTCTTGTCAGGTAACAATTTTCTTTTTCTGCATGCTGTTTTTTAGTGAAACAAAAAAACAGACACACACACACACACAATGTTATTGAATATTTGAATATTTATCTCACAAGGTGCACCATGTGACTATGAAAAGACTTGTTGGTGGTCGATCGAAGGCTCTGGACCTTCTCTTACTTGAACAGACCTCTACCCCCAAAAATGTGCTGAAAAATGGCAAACATAACCAACAACAACATGAACATAAGCAACAACAACCTGAACCTATGCAACAACAACATGAACATAAGCAAAAACAAAGAAATGAACCTGCTGCTGACCACCATTGGCCACTCACAAAAGGCAAACACCGAGCCCAAAAACCATCAACAGTGGCCAGTATAACTACAACAACATCGATAAGAAGTGTTTTGTCATCATCTTCCTCTTCATCATCATCATCATCTGATGTGGATGATGTTAGCACAACTGCTCAAAGATCTGATGCAAGATCGTCAGTGGCATCACCAACTGCATCATCTTCATCATTAATTGTCACAAAAGTAGCAAGGCAGGCCACCAGAGACATGACGGTGCCAGTATCATCGTCATCTTCACTTTCATCATTGAAGATGTCATCCTCATCACCATCACCCTCAGCCTCTTCTTCACCCATGTCTTCAAGATCATCGTCATCTTCTCCTTTACTAAAACAAAATTTCAATACTAAAAATTCTGAAGATGCTTTGTCATGCCTAGGACCATCATCATCAGGGGTGGTGGCTGTAGTTACTGATGCGAAAACATCAGCTATACCACCTCCTTCAACAACAACTGCTACTACTGCTGCAATAAAATTTACAACCAGATTGAAAAATAATGTGCCTGACATGAAGAGTGAAAATGGCAAGAATGAGGATGATGATGACGATGATGATGATGTGGATTACAATAATGACAATCATGTTGATGATGTTGCAGATGAGGAGTATGTTCCTGGATGTGTTGATATTAAGTGCTTTTCTAGGGCTGCTGATTCAGTTCAACATGAAGATGGTTATGATGTCGATGATGTCAGAATGGAAGAAGAGGTGGAAGAGCATCATCATCATCAACTACGACAGCTGCAGCAGCAGCAAGCAATTAAGTGCACGAGGGAGGAATTACGAAGCTCCCTGAATATTTATAAAAGTAACTTCATCGTGAGGCCAGGCAGATTCTACAAGTCTGCAACGAATCCCACAGATAGACACATTCCAAAGTTTGTTTGCATGTTTTTTAAATTCATCATCTTTCCATTAGCTCAGTGCTTCCCAACCCTTTTCAAGTCATTATCCAATTTAGTTTTTATCAAGAGGTTTGCTACTCTCAATTGATTTTATAAACAAAATTAAATTTAAACATTATTTTGAGCTAAGCGGTAAAATAATATTCAAATGTTATAGTTTACTCTTTATTATTTATCAAATTTTAGGATCCGATCACTGTTGCACTATCACTCTTTCTTTAAATATCAATTATATGCATATAATAAATGACTTTAATTCTCTTTGCATTCTAACCGAGTCAATGTACTTCATGAGTAGGGGCTAAGCTTAACCATTGAGTCATTTTTGTAGACTTTTATAACACAAGCTAAATTAATTAATTAATTGTTTGTTTGATTAATTAATTGATTGATTAATTAATTAATTAACTTTATTTATACTTTGATACATGAAGGAGGTGCAAATGCGTTATGTTCCAAGAGCAGAACAGACTGCAACTACATGACACAAAGTCTTGCAATGCCATGTCCGGTACTACTCGTCATACACCTTATCAGTCTGTTAGCAATAAGAAATTAATCTGTAAAAACAGTAATAGAAATATCAATGAACACGATGTCCTCTGTGATGTGGTGCCTGCAACGAATTATCCCAAACCGGCTGCTGTTAGTCTGTTGTGATATGTTTCAATCTTTCTCTTGCCATACATTACGACCACATCGTCATTTTCATCACTGCTTTTCAATCATTCAATTGCTATCTCTGCTCTTATATTTATCAGTTATTTCCATCATATTACCAATATTAATTTGTAGACATTGATTTGAATTGAAGAGGAAAAATTTTATTTTAAATTGCATTTCATAAAGTACCTTTAAAAATTAGGGAGCAAATTTTTAGTTTTAGAAATGTTGAAATTTCATCAGTTGTTATTTTTTATAATTTTTCCAGATGAATACATTCGGAGCTTGGACATATAAACCAGCAACTTCAGTGTTGGTGGTGGATTCCTCTTCATCGCCATCTTCATCCACATTCACATGTGGCTTTTTTTCAACAAGCAGAAAAATGGAAAATGTTCGAGATGCCTTTGGTGGCCTGTTGCTTTCTTTGAATTCAAGTGGAATTTCAAAGGTCACAGTTAATAATAAAAATAGCAGAGACGAGATTTCACAGGCTCGTTTTACAAGCAGTTATTTATCAAAGTTGAGGTTTAACAGGAATGCATTGAATGGCAGGGCATCGTCTTCCTTGCTCTTGTCTGCCCTCACTCCTAATCCTCACTTCCTTACACCGCCATCTTCCTTCTCGTCGTTGTGTGGGGTCTTAGCATTATCAACAATTGAGCATGATGATGGTAATGAAAGTGAGGAGGATGATAACAATGATGATGATAAGGAGGTGATAGATAGTTTAAGTCTTCATCATATCAATTTCAGATCTTCTTCGTCGCCGTCTTTATTGCATCATAATGCTAAAAGCAAAAAGCAATCTAGTCACTCGAGCAAACTGCAAAAGTTCTGTAATGATATAGAAAGAATTACTACAACTACGTCATCATCAACAACAACCACATCATTAACAACAGCGTCAAATATGAGGAGAGCATTAACAACAACAGCAACAGCAGCAATCATTTCAATATCATCGCTTATGAAAACAGAACCACCAAACTTAAGAAAGAATACATCATCAAATGATCGTCATACTGATCAGATGTTGTCACATCATGATGAAGCTCATAGAAGTGTTTCAGTGACTTACTCTTGCAGACCAATCTCTGCTTTCACCGCCGTCACAACTCCTCCTCCACCGACACTTTATCCACAGTCACCACAGCAAGCACCATCTTGTCCATTTTCTTCAACAACTTCCTCGCTGTCTGGATTTCCCTCATCTATAACATCACCATCAACGCCATTGGTAAATAAATTGTCATCGCATAACAATGACATTTCAGATCAAGCTTATAAGAAAACTTTTATAAAGCAACCTCAACATCAGCAACTGCAGGATTCTCATCAGCAACAACCTCAGTTGAAAATTCAGCATTCAAAAAAGCTGGATGAAGGAGCATACAGAAGTATTTCCATCCATCATGCACAGCAGTCCACAGCTTCAAGCATTCATTCTCCCGTTGTTGCCACTACAAAAACGAACAGGACACCTCCCACAAACACTACACAACAACTTTTTATGAATGGCTTTGCTAAAAATTTGCCGGCACTCACAACATCAGTCGATGAACATCATCAACAACAGCAACATCTCCAGCAACAAAAATATCAGCAGCAACAGCAGCAGCATTTTGTAAATGGTTTTGTTCCAGCACCAGTAGCATCATTTGCACAGCATCAGATAGCAGGTAGCACATCAATTGCATCAACAGCGGTGCGTACATTTAATAACTCTTCAGTCAGTAGAGGGCTTCGAGACGTGCCCATGAATGCATCAATGCTCAATTCTCTGCCGATCACTAACCACTCACAAAACAACATACACAACAACGACCAAACCAATATTGATAACAAAACAGCAAAAAGTATAACCAACCATGTAATAGGGAAACTTGAACACTTCCCAAAAGATGAGCATCTTCGTCACTTACACTGTGCAGAGGATTGGTTGATGAAACAACATTCAAAATTACTGCAGCCTCTCACTTCCTCGTCTTCCTTCAGTCCAACATTCCCTCAACAATTATCAAATTCACCACAGAAGTCTAAGAAAGCCAAAATTTCTTATCCTCCTCACCATCATAGTTACCAACAGCATCAGCAGCAACAGATTGCACATAGCAGTAACAGAAAGAATCTGAACCACTCAAGTACATCTGCTGCAGTAACCAATACAACTTTGCAACAACAATATCATCCACATAACATCGACAACATAATAGGCTTGTTCACACCATCTTCATCAACAACAAAATCGTCATCAACCATACAACAACATTCTCCATTCTTATCTCATTTAACATCGCATCCTCTTTCTGTTTTTTCTCAACTCTCGCCCAACAAAGCTTTCAACACAACAGCATCTCACTTAACATCAACATCTTCATTGACAGCAATCACACACATTCATGAGCAGCAGCAGCACCAACAACAAAAACCCTTTCAGCCTCAATTCTACAATACATTTAGATGAGTTACTATCTTGCTAATGCTTCCCTTCTTTGCATTTAAGTGTAATAACAATGTAAAAGAAATTTGGTTGATCTCTTAGCTGAGCTGTTCGAATGATCAACTACTTCCAATCCATATTTTTAATGGCGGCATGCTGTTGTCTAGCTAATCCAATCTCATGCTTGAATTAGGTGGTAAATGAACTTGTGTGTCTGTGGATGCATCCAAGAATGGACGAATAAATAAATAAAGGAATGAATGAATGCGGCTTCAAAGTGACCCATATTTAAAAATTAATGATAGATTTTGTTTTAGTTAGATTTTTTAAATTGACAAAGAGACCAGTGCATGTGTCTGTTCTTATAAGTGAAGTTTCTCCTTCTTCTACAGATGTGTACACATTGGTGTCTACTCTCCCACTTTGTTGCTTGAGAGCATATTCACCTACTAATATATGTATGTATGTATGTACGTATGTATGTATGTATGTATGTATGTATGTATGTATGTATGTATGTATGTATGTATGTATGTATGTATGTATGTATGTATGTATGCATGTATGCATGTATGTATGTATATTATCATTGCTGTTGCTATTCTGGCCGACATACTAATTACTAATGATGATAGGATATTAACGTTGAAGCTTTGTATCAATTGAATGGCGTTGAATTATTTTATAGCCATTTAAACGTTATTACAGTTGTAACGGAGTCCTATGATTAATTTGCATATTTTAGTTTAATTCAACTACGTCTTCATCTATCAATTATTTCAGTTGCTGTTCATTAACTTAAAGTAAGTTTTATTCATCTCTAATTAATCGATCGATCGATTGATCATCTTAACTTATTTTTATTTTTCAAGTCTGTTTATTCGAAGATTGGGTATTTCTAATATATATATATATATTTATATGCTTTGCGAGAATATATATATATATATATATATATATATATATATATATATATATATATATATATATATATATATATATATTGTTAATGTTGTTGTTAGTGTTACGATGTGTTATCATCACCATTAATCAAAGTGGAGAGAGAGATTACGTAGGAGGAAATGAGAATATACATTTAATAAAAAGGAAGACTTATTGAGGAGAAATGAGTGTTTTTGTGGTATCCATTCTATCATTCATTCATTTGTGTTTTCCTCGATTCATTCATCCATTCAATCATTAATTAAATATTTATGTTGTTTAATTTATATTTTCATTTCGTCGCCCCAGTGTAAATACAATAAAACCTATATATTCATGTAACAGATTGCATCAATTGTGAATATCTAATAGTTAATTACTACTACTACTACCACTACTGTTACTTTCATATGAACTCTTTTCGTGAATTAAATTGAACTGGCAATGATTGTATCTTATTCGGTTTTGTCGTTCATCATAAAATGAATCTATAAAATAATTATGTGCTTATATAAATTGTGTAGACACATGTGTATGTGTGGTGTGTGTGTGTGTGTGTGTGTGTGTGTGTGTGTGTGTGATTGTGTTGGTTTTATAATTGTTATTACGCCATTTAATTTTTTGATGGAAGTAGATCGCAGTGATCTAGCACTGATTACAAACTGCATTTACCAATAATTATTGCTTTTAATACAACATATTTCGTTACAATGTTAATATTAATTATTGTAACACTACGATGATGTGAATAATGACGTTATATTACACATTTATAATATAATACTTTTATTAATTGTTATTGTTTCATTTGTAATTGTTCTTATTTTTTCTGTTGATTACAGGCATATTATAATTAGAAATTTGTATTTTGTTGATAAATGAATGGCAATTAAATTAAAAAAATTATCAGTGAAGGAAGGTTGTTCGCAAAAGTTTCACGTCACCGTTCATTGAATGGGCTAAATTGTGCAAATAGATGATCTATCAATTTCTAAATCCTTTTTATCATCATTTTTTGCTCAGGGTTCTATCCTGAGCCCTCTTTTTTTATTTAAAAATTTTTCTTCAACTATTAAAACACGAGAAAAAAACACCTCTGAAACTATTTTACCAAAAAAGGCAAAGAAGCAAACCCAATTTTTCAGACTTAAAATTATGATGATCATTAATGATGGTGTGTGGTGTTTAAATAAATTAATGATGGAACAATGGAACAGTGAGTTGTTAGCACAGCTCATTTTACACTTTATATTTGTGATTTTATAATACAAAAAGTAGAAAGAATTGAGCAGAATAGACAAATTAAAAAAATATAACCACTATAGCATGATGCATGTATATGTGTGTTTGTTTGAATGTGCGTAAGTATGTATGTGTGTTTTTAACTTGTGAATGTATGTGTTTGAATTTTGTGTGCGTGTTTACGCTTGAATAAATTAGAGAAATTTCTAAACAAAAATTTTCACAATTACAGCGTTCTGAAAAAAACTATTTAACAAATAAATATGGAATAAATAACAATGTCGACTGGTACAAAAAATAGAGAAGACGACCAGCATGCATGTTTGTATACTATGTTCGTATGATAGCACCATGTTCGTTTTTGTTCACCGTATGCGTATCGAGTGTGCGTGCAACAAAACAAAAACGAACTCGTAACATAAAATTCAAAGTTAAGATACCAACCTACGAGCAATAAATTTTGTTCAAAACTTTTATTTAACATAAGCCAAGGCTCACCCATTTTACTCCTACCTAAAATAATAAAAAGTTAGCAAGAAGAAAAATAGAACAAGAAAAATAAATGCTCGTTTGTATGTATGCATTTGTATGTTTGTGTGTGTTGTGCTGTACCGTTGTTTGTATGTTTGTGTATGTTATACACATAACATACATGCAAATCCTAATATAACCCATGTTTGAGAGTATTTGCGCTAAAAAATGCAACCAACAAAATGATAGAGAATCGCATTTTTAAGAAAACAAACAAGTGAAGGAGGAGAAGCACAAACTTGAACGGCATTTAGGGAGAAGCCCCCTCGCCACGTCAAGGCAGCCGTTCATGAGGGGGTTAATAATAAAACGACAGTCTAGAAATAATAAGTAACGAAGGTCTAGAAATAATATACAACTTAACCTAAATATAACGAAAATAATATTATGTTGATTGTTGTGTTTGATTGCTGTTGTTGATGTTGTGTTGAACAAAAAACAATACAATACAATACAAATAAACTAGAACGTAAGAAAGAAAGAATAGAGTCCCTAACTTACCTATGTTCATTAAATTAACTCACCTACCTATCTTCAATTAGCTCAACTTACGAATTAATCCTACCTATCTGTACAATTACGAAGAAAAAAGTAAAGAAAAGAGAATAAAACATCAAGCAAACAAAACAAAGAATACATGTATGTATGTAAGTATGTGTGTGTGTTTGTGTGTGTGTGTATGTATGTATGCATGTATGTAAGTATGTGTGTATGTATGTATGCATGTATGTAAGTATGTGTGTGTGTTTGTGTATGTATGCATGTATGTAAGTATGTGTGTGTGTTTGTGTGTGTATGTATGCATGTATGTAAGTATGTGTGTGTGTTTGTGTGTGTATGTATGTATGTATGTATGTATGTGTGTGTGTTTGTGTGTTTGTGTGTGTATGTATGTATGTATGTGTGTGTGTGTGTTTGTGTGTGTATGTATGTATGTATGTGTGTGTGTGTGTTTGTGTGTGTATGTATGTATGTATGTATGTGTGTGTGTTTGTGTGCGTATGTATGTA